AAGAAAGCCGTATGAGGGAGTTGATACGGAGAACAAGGGCATCAGCACATTTCATCGGTGCCAGAAAAAGGGAATGTATGAATCATTCAAGTCTGCATCCAAAACAAACAAACAAACAAACCACCCAAACAACAACAAACAAACAAAAACAACTGCATCAAGTAGGAACTAAGCGGTCCACTGTTGAAGGAGACAATGTTGATGGTTTGAGGAGTTTTAACTGTGTTGGAATTATTTCTGCCTGGACTCTGTACTGACGTTTCTCTTTCACCACTAATGGGGCCCTGCAACAAGTGCATGGTGGTTAAAGAAATTAGAGGACTAGGCAAGCAGCCCTACATTCTAAGGGAGAAAGAAATTAACACAGTTTACCCTCCCTCAGTTGGTAGAGAATCTGCCTGCAATGCAGGAGACCCGGGTTCCATTCCTGGGTTGGGAAGATCCCCTGGAGAAGGAACTGTCAACCTACTCCAGTATTCTTGCCTGGGAAATTCCATGGACAGAGGAGCCTGGCAGGCTACAGTCCATGGGGTCGCTAGAGTTGGACACAACTTAGCGACTAAACCACCTACTCTCCCTTCTGGACTTCCCTGGTAGGTCAGCTGGTAGAGAATCTGCCTGCAATGCAGGAAGATCCCCTGGAGAAGGGATAGGGTATTCACTCCAGTATTCTTGCCTGGAGAATTCCAGGGACAGAGTAGCCTGGCAGGCTACAGTCCTTGGGGTCACAAAGAGTCAGAAGCGACTAAGCATAGCACAGCACCCTCCCTTCTATCCCCTCTCTTAAAACCTGGGCTTCTGTGTTGCAGGCAGATTCCCCAATATCTGAGCCACCAGGGAAACCACATCCCTTCTCTAGATCCAATTTAACATAGATGTTTCTGAGGAGATTGTGCCCCTACCCCTCCCTCTCCTCACCTACTGTCTCCTCCCTCTCTCCCTCGGTCCCTTCCACATTGATTCAGGCCCCAGTAAGACTTGCCCTTTAGCCAACTGTAGAGTCTGAAGTTTTCTTTTGCAACAAAGTATTAGGGAGGAGGGAGGAGGAAGGGGAGAAGAGCACAGAAACCGGCCATGGCTGTTGGAACACCACGTTAAAGCCCAGCTTCTCCCAGAGGTACATCTAAATAAATCCTGGCTTATTTCATAGCTATTTCTGTCAGGCTTCTATTTCTGCTTTGTTAACTATGAATTTAGACCTTTCATGTTCCTTCAGCCCCACATTTGTGAACACGTTTTCCTTTGCTATTCTATTGCCATCTCCTGTTAGAGAGTTAAAATAGAATTTCAAGGATGTGATCCTGTACCTTCAGTAGCAGACCAGTAAGGGCTTAGTGGCAGAAAGTGTGAAGGGTTAGGAATCTTAGACGTAGAAAAAGGTCCTGCTTCAGAGAAAGGATAAAGCCTGCCACAAACTTCGGCTTGCTTAAACTGTACGAGGACCTTGAGAATGTCACAAGTCATGGAAACTGGGTCAGGTCACTAGGAAGGAGTTCAAAGAAATAGCCTGTAATCAGGAGGGGTGTGTATGTGTAAGGCCTACAGTGCACAACTGGAAATGTTAAGTCTAAGGAGAGCGTTGTCTGGTGGTGAAAGAACAGAGAAAAACAGGTAGTGAAGACTGGAAAGGTCAAGATCTGTATAAAGATTAGCTGTGCCTTTCTAATCAAAGCTTCAGAGTTCACTTGAAGTGTAAGGATTTAAAATAAAAATACAGAAAGGAATTATTGAGGACTACTGTACAAGTCTATAAGACTAAATCATTCCTTTTACTTACAGAGTTTGTGGCTTTCATTAGATCCATTGGTCAGAATTTCTGAGAACTTTTGCAGAATGTAGAAAATTGCTGATATGCCTCAATTTCATTTTGGGAGAAAAGAATAACAGGTACTTGTATCCCCACGATCTAGTGTTAACAGATGTGTCTAATTATGTATGCAGTTTTAAACATTTGGAGTATTTTTATTTGTACAAGTAGAATTGTCCTTCATGTATATTTCTGCAGTTTGCATTTGGAAGCTGTTCATGTTTTATATAGCTTTGATTCATTTTTTAAGAATTGAAGGATAGTTAATTTACAATGTTGTGTTAGTTTCAGCAGACTGATCCATATATATATATATACACATATACACACACACATATATATTCTTTTTTCAGATTCTTTTCCATTATAGTTTTTTTGTTTGTTTGTTCGTTTTTGGCTGCACGCAGTCTTAGTTGCAACACTCGGAATCTTTAGTTGTGGCATGTGGGATCCAGTTCCCTGACCAGGAATCAATCCTGGGCTACTTGCGTTGGGAGCACAGAGTCTTAGGCACTGGCCCACCAGGAAAGGCCCTTCATTATAGATTATTACAAGCTATTGAGTAGAGTTCCCTGTGCTATGCAGTTGGTCCTTGTTGTTTAGTTATTTTATATAGAGAGTGTGTATATCTTAACCTTAAAGCTCCTAATTTATCCCCCACTTCTCTTTCTTGGGGGGAGGGCAGTGCTGGGCTTTCTTTGCTTTTCTCTGGTTGTGGAGAGTGGGGGCTAGGCTCTCGCTGCAGTGTGGTGGCTTCTCTTGTTGCAGAGCTCAGGTTCTACAGCACACGGGCTTCAGCATTGTGGCACGTGGGCTCTGTAGTTGCGGCTCTCAGGCTTTAGAGCACCGGCTCAATACTTGTGGCCCACAGGCTCAGCTGCTCTGAGTCACACGGGGTCTTCCTGGATTAGGGATCGAACCCAAGTCTCTTGCTTTGGCAGATGGATACTTAACCACTAGACCACTAGGGAACCCTGCCCCTGATTCATTTTTAATAATTGCTATTAGTCAGCCATTTGTATATACTAAATTATGTTTATCATTCTTTAACTTTTGATATCTGAATTGTTCTTAGGTTTTACCCTTACCAACAGAAGGTTATGAATATTCTTGCACATGTCTTCTTACGTGGGAAAATTTCTCTACAGGGGGGTTTCTCAGCCTTGGCACCACTCACATTTTGGACTGGACAATTCTTTGTTGTGGAGGTATATGCTATGCTTTTTAGAATGTTTAGCAGCATCCCTGGCCTCTACTCCGTAGATGCCAATAGCACCTCCCAAACTGTGATAACCAGAAGTGTCTCCTGAGAGTTGTTTCTTGCACAGTATAATCACAGTTAGTTAAGAACCACTACTTCTATATGTGTGCAAAAATATGTGTGCAGAACAACTTCCAGGTTGTTCTGATTCAATTTTAACTAAGATATTACCAGAGCTTCCCAGATGGCTTAGTGGCAAAGAATCTGCCTGCCAATGCAGGAGACACAGGTTCGATTCCTGATCTGGGAAGATCCCACATGCCACAGGGCAGCAAAGTTCTTGTGTCACCACAGCTGAACTTGTGCTCTAGAGCCCAGGAACTGCACCTACGGAGCCCTCATGATGTAGCTACTGAAGCCCTTGCACCCTTGAGCCCATGCTCCACGACAAGAAAAGCCTCTGCAATGAGAAGCTCGAACTGCAACTAGAGTGTAGCCCCCACTCACTGCAGCTGGAGAAAAGCCCTCTCAGCAAGGAAGACCCAACACAGCCAAAAATAGATACATAGAATTATTTTTTTAAAATATATTCTCACTGATAATGACTCTAGGTAGGATTTTTTTTTTTTTCTCGTTGTAGCTTCTGTTGTGAAGGACCTTGGCCTAGACCAGCCTTGTGTCTGTGTACCCTGTGACAGTAGAGAGAAAATTGAAATTTCAGTTTGAGAATGGGTTGGGGCCTGTTGTATGGATGCCTGTATCCTCAATTTCCCAACTAGCACTAGACCTTTTTTCTTGAACAGATTTTCTGGAATTGGGTGTCTTTCTCTTAAGGTAAAGTAGATGAAGGAGAGTGGCAGGCAAAGGGATTTTAATGTTCTTATACAATGCTTAGAAAACATGGTGCACCCAATCAATCAATCAATGTTTTTTTGAGTTAGTCCTTGGTAGGAATGAAGATAGAGGTGAAGAGCAAAAGCAACTGAGCTCTCTCATTCCTCTGCTCTTGTATTGTTGTTGTTCAGTCGCTAAATCATGTTTGACTCTTTGTGACCCCATGGACTGCAGCATGCCAGGCTTCCTTGTCCTTCACTATCTCCTGGAGTTTGCACAAATTCATATCCAATGAGTTGGTGATGCCATCCAACCATCTCATCCTCTGTCACCCACTTCTCCTCCTGCCCTCAGTCCTTCCCAGTATCAGGGTCTTTTCCAGTGAGTCAGCTCTTCGCATCAGGTGGCCAAGGTGTTGGAGCTTAGCTTCAGCATGCTTCAGCTTCAGCATCAGTCCTTCCAATGAATGTTGATTTCCTTTAGGATTGACTGTTTTGATCTCCTTGCGGTCCAAGGGACTCCCAAGAGTCCCTCTTCTCTAGCATCGCAATTTAAAAGCATCGATTCTTCGGTGTTCAGCTTTCTTTATGGTCCAGCTCTAACATCCATATACAACTCCTGGGAAAACCATAGTTTTGACTTTATTGATCTTTGTCGGCAAAGTGATGTCTCTGCTTTTTATCGTTGGTAGGTAGAGGAGGACTGGGAAGATTTCTAATGAATCCAAAGTTGAAATGTCACTCTAACCTTCTTTTCTGGTAGGAATCACCAGTGGCCCTCCATGAAGAACTGCCTTTCCCATTTGCTGCTGGAGTTAATGATTTTTCCTGCTGGTAGAATCAGGGACATGCCGGCACGGTAAGGGTTAATCCACTCATTCTCATCCCAGGCATGTGGTTGGGGGTGGGGTGAGCAAGGAGAAAAAGGGAAACCTTGATTTTCTCTTGGGGATCTTTAGTCATTGCCAGTCACAGCCCACATGCCTCCTTCCCTGTTGATCCTTGACGCTATAGTTTTGTTTCCTGTTTCCCCTTGGTAGTTCCCTCTTATTTTCTCATTCCCCATCCCCCATCCCCACCAACTACCATGGGACTTGGTTTCTGAGCTAATGGGGATCCCCTCCATTCCAGGGCGGGATGAGCGGGTGCTCCGGCGGGGATGTGGTCACTGCCGGCCAGTGAGGGCGAGAGTGCCACAGCCCACTTCTTCCTCGGAGCTGGAGATGAGGGGCTGGGCCCCCGTGGACTCGGCATGAGGCCAGAAGAGAGTGACAGCGAGCTCCTCGAGGATGAGGAGGATGAAGTGGTAAGACTGGGGGCCATGATGTCACTTGGTGTTGGGACCCCCGCCATCGTGGAGATTCCATAGGATTGAGACGCCACCTCCCGATCTTCCCAGATGCCTAGACGCCCTGTCATAAACAGGCCCTCTTTTGATGATAGGCAAGGGCAGTGGAGACTGGTTAGACTGCCTCTCCTTGAAGCCCTTATGCTTTTGCCCACCTCCTGTTGTCTCATGATTATTGGTTCTCTGACTCTTCTGCCTGGGTACACACTGTGGCAGGAGGAATCCCTGCAGGAACCCCAATCTAGGCCTGAATTAGGAGACAACCTTAACCCCCCAAGTCCTAAGTCCTGACAAGAAACTCTGCCCTAAGGAGATGATGAGTCAGTGTTCCCTGATAAAGGCAGGTTCAGGTGAGAAGTTCCTGAGTTCCTGACGGCACTTCCTCCTGATAGCCTCCTGAACCTCAGATCATTGTTGGCATCTGTGCCATGACCAAGAAATCCAAGTCCAAGCCAATGACCCAGATCCTAGAGCGACTCTGCAGGTTTGACTACCTGACTGTTATCATCCTGGGAGAAGACGTGATCCTCAATGAACCTGTGGAAAACTGGCCATCCTGCCACTGCCTCATCTCCTTCCACTCCAAAGGTTGGTGTCTGTGAAGGAAAATGGGAAGGAGTGGTACTGGGAATGCTGGACTGGGAAATGAGGCTCTTACTGTCAAATAGTAAAGAAGTCGTCCTCTCTTCCCAACACTAGAGAACAGTGCAAAGGGGTTTGCTTTTCCTACATCTTGGAGAAGTTGCTGGGGTTAGTTTAAAGCCCATATTCAAACCTCAGGACAGCTCTAAGATTCTTCAGATCTCTGACAGAATTGGTCTCTGGAAGGACCCTACAAGTAGTTTCTGTTTTGCTTTTTCCCTGATGGATTTTCTAGACTTGAGAAATTGGGCAGGAGGATGAGTGCTGGGTTGGACGGGTTGTGGAGCTCAGTGGCAACGAATAGCTTTAACACATTTCTCTGTTTCTCTTGCTGTTTTCTCACTGTTTCTCTCACTTTCTTTCTTCCACCTCTCTATTTCCTCTCTCCATCCCAGGCTTTCCCCTGGACAAAGCTGTTGCTTACTCCAAGCTTCGAAACCCTTTTCTTATCAATGACCTGGCTATGCAGTATTACATCCAGGATAGGTACAGCTTTCTGTTGACTGGTGGGATGGGTGCCCCCAAGATCACGCCTGTTTTAGAGAACCCAGTCTGGGAGGGGCAGAGTCAAACATACATGCTGAATTGTTGTACCAAACCCTCTTGAGTTCTGTACACGGGTGTCTCCCAGTTCCTGAGTGAATGAAATCCCTAGCCTCTCCCCTCGTCACCTGCCTCCACCTCTCCCAGCTAATTTATTCGGGGGTAACAGGAGGGAGGTGTACCGGATCCTGCAGGAGGAAGGTATTGACCTGCCTCGATACGCTGTGCTCAACCGTGACCCTGCCCGGCCTGAGGGTGAGTACCTGGCCTTGTCCAGTCCTACCCTGCCCCACTTTCTGTGACTGAGCCCCGTTCTCCATTCTCTAGACAGCTATGTGCCACCTGTCTCTGTGAGGCTTTGGTTACTGGACTACGGGTAGAGCTAGAGCCATAGGTCTTTGGACAGAATCTGAGACCTCTCTACAGATGTTAGTTACCATATCTATTATTAAAGTATGGTCATAGAAATTTGAGGGTTATGGAGATTAAAACTGAGAGAAGTGGGAGTTGGAAGCATTCTTGGGCCCTAGGAATGACCGCACACCTACCTTTCAGAGTGCAACCTGATAGAGGGTGAAGACCAGGTGGAGGTAAATGGAGCCGTCTTTCCCAAGCCCTTTGTGGAGAAGCCCGTGAGTGCGGAGGACCACAACGTTTACATCTACTACCCCAGCTCAGCTGGTGGAGGAAGCCAGCGCCTCTTCCGTAAGGTGTGGGAGACGTCTGGGGAGGCAGAGAAGTAGATGGACGAGAATGAAGTTGTGGGAAGGGAAGCTGGAAGACTGGGGGACAAGTTAGAAGCAACCTTTTTTCTCTTCCCCTTCCTTTTTCTCCTGAAGATTGGCAGCCGAAGCAGTGTTTACTCTCCAGAGAGCAGCGTCCGAAAGACAGGCTCATACATCTATGAGGAGTTTATGCCAACAGATGGCACAGATGTCAAGGTTATGGTGGATATGGGGATTTAAGAGGTTATAAATGTCTGAGTGGGGTGGGGTGCTTGTGAAGCAAGTAGAAGTGTAAGGAAGCAGTTATAACAAATAAAGTGTGAATGGGATTGGCTTTCATATGCAGGTGAAGATAAGGATTGGGGAAGTAGGTATTTATATTGTCACTATCAGAGTGAGGGCAAGGGTAATGTGGAAAATGCAATAATGTTGGTAAGTTATTTCTTAGTGTGGACTAGGCGATAGTTTAAGAGTCCCATGGAGAAACTTTCTTGATGATACTGAAGTTCCATCTCAGTTAAAAAAAAAAGTCAGTCTTCTTGTTCTTAATATTCAGGGGATTTGTTTGTTTTGTTAATGTTTACTGGGAAACTAGCCTACAGACATGACGTTCATATTGCCTTCTCATATACAGGGTGAGCTGTGGGCATACTCAGTGATGCTATGTACCTGCAGGTGTATACAGTGGGGCCAGACTATGCCCATGCTGAAGCCAGAAAATCTCCAGCTTTGGATGGGAAGGTTGAACGAGACAGTGAGGGGAAAGAGATTCGATATCCAGTCATGCTGACCGCCATGGAAAAGCTGGTGGCCAGGAAAGTCTGTGTAGCTTTTAAGGTGAAGAGAGGCCCTTTGGTAGGGAGGTTGTGCAGGAGCGGGGTGCAGGGGAGGGGCTCTGGCATGAGGGAGAGGTTGGTGGGGCGAAGCTGAGAAGGAAGCATGGCTCTCTTGTTCTCATCTTCCCTTTTTCCCCTTGCAGCAAACAGTTTGTGGTTTTGATCTCCTCCGTGCCAATGGTCACTCCTTTGTGTGTGATGTCAATGGCTTCAGTTTTGTCAAGAATTCAATGAAATACTATGATGACTGTGCCAAGATTCTAGGGTAAGGGATACAGTGGTCTGGGCTGGGGAGAATGGGCTTAAAGAGAATAGCGAAGTTTTTAATTTAAAGGCACCTTGTTTTGTTGAACTTTGCAGGTATTGTGTTTTTTTACATTTTGAAGGTTTGTGGCAACCTTTGAGCAAGTCTATTTTCACCATTTTTCTAACAGCATTTCCTAACTTCATGTCTCTGTGTAACATTTTGGTAATTCTCACAGTATTCCCAGCTTTTTCATTGTTATTATGCTTGTCATAATGATCTGTGATCAGTGATCTTTTTTTTTTTGTAATGATCAGTGATCTTTGATGTTACAATTGCAAAAAGATTAGAACTTGCTGAAGGCTCAGATGATGGTTAGCACTTTTTAGCAATAAGTATTTTTTAATTAAGGTATGTACATTGTTTTTTTAGACATAATACTTTTGCACACTTACTAGACTATGGTAACTTTCCATATGCACTGCCAAACAAGAAAACTCCTGTGACTCACTTTATAGAGATATTCACTATATTGCAGTGGTCTGGAACTGAACTTTCAATGTCCCTGAGGTCTGCCTGTACTTTAAATTCTGTAAAAATGATTTAAAAGTGAAAAAGGAAAGTAGAGAAAGGATTCCTTAACTCTCTTGCCTTCCCAACATTGCTCTCCCCAGAGGGAATTAGTGTTAACTGTTTTAGGCATAACAATATGTCTTTTTCTTCTGTTTATAAACAGACTACTTATTGTACTAAATATGATCATACCATAATACTGTCTTTCACCTTGACTTTTTAATATGTAAAACATTCAAAAATGTATAAGGAATGATGGCTACGGTGAATATCAGTATATTCACCATTGAGCTTAAGAAATAAAATATTAAGAATATAGTTGAGGGAATTCCCTGGCAGCCAAGTGGTTAGGGCTTGGCGCTTTCACTGCTGGTTAGGGAAATAAAATCTTATAAGCTGTGTGGTGCAACCAAAAAAAAAAAAAAAGCACATAGAGTTAAAGCCCCTGCATAAACATTACTAATAACATCCCCTCCCCTCCCACCCAGAGGTAAACACAATCTTTATTACAAAATAGGAAAGTTTTTTTTGTAGGTCTTTAGACTTTATATTAATGTATTGTTAGTTTTTTTGAACTTCATTCAGACATGTAGTTCTGGTTCATTCATGTTCATGTGGGTTCTTCATGTTTCTCCTTCTAGAAACACCATAATGCGGGAGCTTGCCCCACAGTTCCAGATCCCGTGGTCCATCCCCATGGAGGCTGAGGACATTCCCATTGTCCCTACCACTTCTGGCACTATGTGAGCAAAAGTAAAAGTTAAAAATCTGGAGTAACCACTTAAAACATCTAAGTCAGACCAGTGCTCACTTTCTGCCCCCGTGCCATCTGACTGATGGAGCCTACCTGTATTCCTCATCTCAGATAGTCTTTCCTGTGTTTTTTGACGTGGCGAGTAGGATGAAATGGGTGGCGGCATGGGGTGGGATGGGGAAGAGGCTCTAACAGCATTCCCAATCTTAGGATGGAACTTCGTTGTGTCATTGCAATCATTCGTCATGGAGATCGTACACCCAAGCAGAAGATGAAGATGGAGGTGACACACCCAAGGTAAAAAGCCGAGTGTTCTAATCTAGACAAATAAGGTTTTTGTAAGGGAAATGGGGAGGGGCACCTCTCAGAGGTTTTTGCCTTTCTCAGCCCATACTGAAGCTTCTCCTCCTTTCTTCAGATTTTTTAGTCTATTCGAAAAACATGGTGGCTACAAGACAGGGAAATTAAAACTGAAGCGGCCAGAGCAGCTACAGGTAAGATGATGAATCTGGCTGGCAGGAGCAGTGCTATGAAAAGACAGAGACCAGGATAAAAGCCTAACCAGCCAGGACTTGGCCTCCTTTGTGGACACCCTATTATTTCCTCCAGGAGGTGCTGGACATCACACGGCTGCTATTGGCTGAACTGGAGAAAGAACCAGGTGGTGAGATCGAGGAGAAGACAGGGAAATTGGAGCAGTTAAAATCCGTGCTGGAGATGTGAGAAAGGGAATAGGAAAAGGGGGGCCAATAGCAGTAAGAATTGGGTGCTGGGGTAGAAAGCAAACTGTGGGTTTATCCTGCAGGTACGGTCACTTCTCAGGCATCAACAGGAAGGTGCAGCTGACTTACTACCCTCATGGAGTAAAAGCTTCTAATGAGGGGCAAGGTGAGACATAGCACTTCTTTCCATTACCACTCACATCTTTTATTTTTGAATCCTCAGATGACCTCTCTCCCAAATTACCTTTCTGGGCTGCTCAGAAAACTTAGCATTTAGATGTCCCCACTGTTTTCCTTGTGCTTCCCCATTTTCTCAACAGTAAGGAATCTGCCTGCAGTGCAGGAAATGCGGATTTGGTCCCTGGGTCAAAAAGATCCCCTGGAGGAGGAAATGGCAACTCACTCCAGTATTCTCGCCTGGGAAATCCCATGGACAGAGGAGCCTAGTGGGCTACAGTCCCTGGGGTTGCAAGAGTCAGACACCACTGAATGACTAAGCACATACAGTTTTCCTTAGGTCTAGACCTGTTCACTCCCTCTTATTCCTGCAGATACGCAGCGGGAGGCTCTGGCCCCATCCCTCTTGCTGGTGCTGAAGTGGGGTGGAGAACTGACCCCGGCTGGCCGTGTTCAGGCTGAGGAGCTGGGGCGAGCTTTCCGCTGCATGTACCCTGGAGGACAGGGTGAGTGTTTGTTGACCAGGGGTTGCGGGGGGCGGTGTAGACACACAGCAGGGCTAAGATAAGATGATTAGAGAGTAAGCTGAGGAAACAAAGGGACAGAGGTATTGGGGAGGTTAAAGGGGAAATGAGCATTCTTGGGTGTGTATAGCCTTCCGATTCCTGGTCCTCCCCTTTGCCCCCAGGTGACTATGCTGGCTTTCCTGGCTGTGGGCTGCTTCGTCTCCATAGCACTTTCCGCCATGATCTCAAGATTTACGCCTCTGATGAGGGCCGTGTCCAGATGACTGCCGCAGCCTTTGCTAAGGTGCTTGCTCTAGTTCTCCCACAGTCCCAGCTTCCATTAGGTAGAGAAGCAGAGTTTGGAGAGCTGGTCAGGAAATTTCAGAGGGTTTGTGTGCCAACTCAGAGGAGTTTCTGCTTCTCATAGGAGTACATCCTATGCTACTGAGAATAATTAATGGGGTGGGCCCCTTGATCTGCTCCCCAGCTCCCCCGAGCCAGCTCTCATTTGATCTCTGGGACCATCGAAGCCTAGGGAAAGTAGAGCAGAAGGAAAACTGATACACTCTGTGCTTTTTCCCTCCAGGGCCTTCTGGCTCTAGAAGGGGAGTTGACACCCATTCTGGTACAAATGGTGAAGAGTGCCAACATGAATGGGCTCTTGGACAGCGATGGGGACTCCCTGAGCAGCTGCCAGCACCGTGTGAAGGCTCGGCTACATCACATTCTGCAGCAGGACGCACCCTTTGGCCCTGAGGATTGCGATCAGGTCAGGCTGTCACTGTCTTTGTGCCCAATACACCCCACTCCCAAATTCCTAGAATTTTAAGTAATAGCAATCAATAATGGTACTTATGATGTGCCAGGCACAGTTTTACATGCTTTCCATACACTCAGTCATTTAATTTAATCCTTACCCACCCTTTGAGGTAAGTGTGGGTCCACAATCTATCATCTAGAATTTTGAAAATCAAAGATTTTTATAACCTTGCCACTAAAATTCCTTTGGCAGGGAAGCCTGGTGGTCCCAGTGGTTAAGAATCTGCCTGCCAGTGCATGGGACACAGATTCAATCTCTGATCCAGGAAGATCCCGCATGCCTCCGAGCCGTTAAATCCATGTGTCTCTACTGCTAAGCCCGTGCTCTTGAGTCAGGGAACTTGCAACTACTGAACCTGAGCGCTGCAGCTGTTAAAACCCGCATGCCCTAAAGCCTGTGCTCAGAAACAGGAGAAGCCACCACAGTGAGAAGCCCCCGCTCGCCACAGCTAGAGAAAGCCCAACAACAGAGACCCAGTGCAGCTGAAAATAATTAAATTAAAAAAGTAGAGATTCCTTTGGCAGCAAAACCCAACATGACAAGACTGACTCTAATCTCTATGTATCCCATCTTATGTAAAACAGTGATACACATAGATAGGTATATGTATATCTGTATATACATATATGTATATATGTGTCAGTTCACTTCAGTTCAGTCGCTCAGTCGTGTCTGACTCTTTGCGACCCCATGAATCGCAGCACGCCAGGCCTCCCTGTCCATCACCAATTCCTGGAGTCTACCCAAACCCATGCCCATTGAGTCAGTGATGCCATCCAGCCATCTCATCTTCTGTATATATATACATATGTATATAGATATATGTATACATATATACATATACATAGAACAGTGTTTGGTTATGCCCTAGGCCCTGCTGCAGGTATTATCTAACATATGGCATATGCTCTGTATTAACTTCTTAAGGTCCAAAAAATTCTCAGTTCCATAACACAGCCTATCCCAAGGATTTTCAATAAAAGAGTTTTTCAGTTTGTCTACTGCTGTATTAAAAACCACCCCAAACTCAGTAACTTAAGACAAAAACCATTTTTATTTTCTCACTCTCCATTCTAGGCTCAACTAGTCTTGCTTAGGGTCTTTCTTAAAGTTGCCTAGATGCTTAGGGTCTATTCTAGAGAATAGCATTTTCTGTGTTCTTCTCTGAGCAGGCCTCGATAAAGAGGCAGGACCTTGATACCTTATTTTCCAATTCATTGCTCAATGTCAAATCAAACTATAGAAATGATCCCTGAAAGTATAGTCTTTCAATGTCAAATCAAAAAAAAGCTAAGGCATTTTCCTTTTTCCCTTGCTACCCTTTACCAGCAGGAATGGAACTTGTGACGAGTGAGGTAGAATGTGCTTTCCACCTGCGGTGTCCTCTCCCCCTCCCCGTTTTTCATTGACTGGGACCATCCTGCATGCTTGAGTTGGACTTAGTTCTGAGGCAGCACCTCTGCTCTAGGTTCAAGCTAGCATCTTGTTTAGAGGAATAAGATAATGTCATTTCTGTTATCCATTCATGAAAACATTCTGTGGGGATTTGGGTTGAATATTCCCCAGCATTTTCTCTGAGTATTTTAGAACCCCCAAGAAGACCTAGATCTGTTTTATTTCCTCTGGACTTCAAAACTTTTAAGATGACCCATTCTCAGGTACCTGTGTGTTAGGTCAGTCCCCTCATTGGAACTGCTAGTGTTCCCAGAAGCCTGAGAATGCTTGTTGGAGCGAGCTGACAGACAGAGCCAGTTTGCTGGCAGTCTCCGTGATGAGCGCACAGGAGCCTGGGCAGTTGGCACTGAGTCTGTCTTGCTTTCCATCTCTCTGTTCTCCACAGCTGGCTCCCACTGGAAGTACTTCCCTGCTCAGCTCCATGGCTGTTATCCAGAATCCTGTGAAGGTCTGTGATCAGGTATTTGACCTGATTGAAAACCTCACTCACCAGATCCGGGAACGGATGCAGGACCCCAAGTCTGTAGGTGGGTTCGAACACTACTGTCTTCCTTTTCAGGGTTTGGGTGTGGACGGGTTCCTCAGGCCACCCCGTGCCCTCCTCTACGTGTCTGAGACAAGTCATCCTCATCTCTCTGGCTCTGCTTCAGATGTGCCAGGGTCTTCAGTTAGAGGTAAATAAAGCCTCTGCCTCTCTCTTGACTGTCTGTCCGCCTTCCAGACCTGCAGCTCTACCACAGCGAGACACTAGAGCTGATGCTGCAGCGTTGGAGCAAGCTGGAGCGCGACTTCCGGCAGAAGAGTGGGCGCTATGACATCAGTAAGATCCCTGACATCTACGACTGTGTCAAGTATGATGTCCAGCACAATGGGAGTCTGGGACTTCAAGGCACGGCAGAACTGCTCCGTCTCTCTAAGGCGTTGGCTGATGTAGTTATTCCCCAGGTGTGTCTCACGGAAGGGATCGAGTCTGGGGCCAGGGGCACTGGGGCAGGAAGGAGAGAAGAGGCAGAAAGGAAGCCTGGTGTGGGAACCAGGGGGAGGAAGCTAGAGAAGGAATTAGTTGAGCTGCTACAATCGTGGCTCTGAGGAAGCTGAAGAGGCTAACTGGGGAGAAACCTAGGGAGGAGGAATGCAGTGAACTGGGAAGAAGCCCGAGACCTGAGGTAAAGACAAGCATGACCTTGGGCCTGGGAGTATGAGGCGAGAGGAAAAAGAGATTTGTTGAGGTGCTTATTCCTGGCTTGTGGCCCCTAGGAATACGGGATCAGTCGGGAGGAGAAACTGGAAATTGCCGTGGGCTTCTGTCTCCCACTGTTGCGGAAGATACTACTTGACCTGCAGAGAACCCACGAGGATGAGTCTGTCAACAAGCTGCATCCCCTGTGAGGGAGGGCTGGGCGGGGTGCTGGATGGAGGGAGGGGGCATGTCAGGGAGCTCTGGGGGAACCCAGGCCAGGACCGCTTGGGGAACCAAGAATGGAAGGGGGTTCTGGGATGGAAAGGAGGGAGACTTTGAGGCGGGAGGAGGGAGTTTGTGGCGGGCCGGGAAGACAATGGGCTGACAGCGTGAGTGACCCGGCTGTTGTCTCAGGTACTCCCGAGGGGTGCTCTCTCCAGGCCGCCATGTTCGAACACGTCTCTACTTCACCAGCGAAAGCCACGTACACTCCCTACTCAGTGTCTTCCGCTATGGGGGACTTCTGGATGTAAGGATCTTCCTTCTTCCCTCAGCCTATGAGCTTCCTGTCCCAGTGTTCTTTTACTCTCCTCCTCACTCTTCTTTTCACTGCAAGCTTCCTCCTGTCTTCCTGTCTCCCCACCCATTCGCTGACGCCCTCGTCCTTGGGCCCTGGCCCGCCTCTTCTCGCGTTTGGCAGGAAACCAAGGATACACAGTGGCAGCGAGCTTTGGCTTATCTCAGTGCCATCCCAGAGCTCAACTACATGACGCAGATTGTCATCATGCTCTATGAGGACAACACCCGGGTGAGGCGCTAACCGGGCAGGATGAGGAGAGGGCCCCTTCTTTCTCCTCCATCCCCTTTTAGGGAAAAACTTTCTCATCCTTAGAATCTGTGGAATCCAGTATCTAAGTGCAGCACGCAGAGCGTGTCCAGGAGGTTCCCCTGGAATGAAAGACATATTCTGGGTTGATGTTGAGTCAGAGAGATACCAGAGAACAGAGCTCTGACATTAGGGAGGGCATGGAATTTGAACAGTGTTATAGTGAGAAAAATAATGTTTCTCCTCTCAAACACTGTTACACATATACTTTCTTCATCTGGCTCCCCAAAGATACCTTTAAATGTGCTGCTGTGTGTACTGTCACAAAGCTGAATTCCTGCAGGAGATGGTTGGGGGAGATTCCCCAGTCTACTTCCATTGTCAAACTGGAAGTTGGAAAGTCACGTGGAGGTGATGGCATGAGGATCCCATGAGATTAGACTGTGGGGAGCTGTTACTGTAGAGGAGGGTGAGACACTGAAACCTCAGCCCTCCCTGTGAGGCTGTGACCTCTTGAGTTCCTCCGTTGTCCCTGCCTGGGCTTCCACCACCACACTCAGCTTCGCCAACTTCCCCTTCCTCTGGCAATGCCCTGTAGGATCCCTTGTCGGAGGAGCGGTTCCACGTGGAATTGCACTTCAGCCCCGGAGTGAAAGGCGTCGAGGAAGAAGGCAGTGCCCCCACGGGCTGTGGATTCCGTCCAGCCTCTTCTGAGGTGGGTCAGAGCACTGGGATTTGGGACAGGAGGATTTAGGAACCAAGTGGTGGGAAACTCGGAAACAGTACAGGGAAGTTGAAAGGATTGGAGAGACTGGAGTAGGAGGCTGGAGGCCATTAACCCCTCTCCCTTCTGTGCCTGCTATTGGGTAGAATGAGGAGAGGAAAGCAGACCAAGGCAGCGTGGAGGACCTGTGCCCCGGGAAGGCATCAGATGAGCCAGACCGAGCATTGCAGACCTCGCCCCTGCCCTCTGAGGGCCCTGGCCTCCCAAAGAGATCACCCCTCATTCGTAACCGCAAAGCCGGCTCCATGGAGGTAATGGGAGGGGCCTGGGAGAAGGAAGTGGTAGAAATGCTTGGAGGACAATTTCTGTGAATCTCTGAATCCCTTCAGTGGAATTCTTGGGACCTTAAGCAGAGTCCTCCTGCCCCTGATGTATATGTAACCCATAATGTCACTTTCACAGCTGGTCTCCCCATAAAGCTCCTTTAAGCTGGAGGCTCCTTCTGAAGTTAAAGAGATGCTGGTGAGGGCCATCTGAGAGACAAGGACTTCAAGAGATGAGATTGAGGAGGAGGCCTCTGGATGCATTTGGAAAGGCAGTTCTTTAAAAGAAAATGAAGAGAATGTAATAGAAACAGCATGAACTCTGGGCTAAAATCTTGTTTGATAGATGCTGTGTGATCTTGGACAGGCAGCTTCTCCAAGCCTCAATTTTTTTCATCTGTGATATATAAATACAAGTAATACTCATCATATAGATGCTCAGTAAACAGTTGGCAATGAAGACAATACAGTTGATTAAAGGCCAAGCCCTCTTCATCTTCTTCTTGTCTTGGGTAAATATTATGGCTCTGATAGTAGTAAATATCACTTTACTAAAAATGACACTTTCATTTAACCCCTTTAGAGTTATCTATACTCTCATTCCAGAAAAGGAATCAGGTCTGGAGGTCTGTCTGTCTCCCCTTTGTTTGGATGAGGTTTATCAACCTGGGCCTGTGTTCTGCTGTGTCTGAAGTTTGTGTCTAGCCCTGGTTCTAGCCTAGAGGAAAGGATTTTTGTAAATCTTACATTTTATCCTGGGGTAAACACCAAAGTTCTGGTCTTTTCTTCCTGGAGAGATCCTTTCCTTCTTTGGCTCATTGACACTCTTTGACCCCATGATTTAGCCCTGTCTCAGGACCATGACTGGTGTGAATCCTGCTTTGACAGATGAATCTGTTCACTTGGTTTGGTACCAGTTCTCTGTCTTAGGGGAACGGGCCTTTCCATTTTGAAGTATGTCAGAAGAATCTATGATTAGCTTACGGAGGTTCAGCCAAAGGTTCATGGTTCAGATTTTGGAGCAGACAAACTTCAGCCTCTGTTCTAGACTCATCTTTTTCTTCCTGATTATGTTAAGGTGGACTTGACGTCCTGAATACTCAGAGTTTCTTTAGCTGGGGTATGTGTCATTCACCCCTTGAGATATAAGTTAACTTAGTATCCACAGTACATTAGAACCCTACTGACTCATGTGGGTAGACCACATGGACAGAATGACATGTAATTGTCCAGTAATAGACTTCTCCTCCATATCCAGTGTCTTCTCCATTCGTGTCAGCCTCTCTGGCACTGTTGTGCTGGACCCCGTTTGCTTCTGATTTAAGCAGCCAAGAGACATAGGCAAAGCAGAGCTCCCAGTGTATTACCTTCCCAACTTGATGAAATTGATTTCCTTCTTTCAGGCTCACAGGAAGCTCCCTGCTGTCATCAGATTTCTATCTCTCAGTCACTGGTACTGCTTGTACCATGCCTCTGCAGGCTGGTGGTTGCCCAAGATATTCTCCTCAGCTTTGCAAGAAAATCTTCTCTCTGCTGTTTGTTCACGCAGCCTTTTCATAGTTATAGTTCCTCTCCTTGTTTTATAAGTATAGGCATCAGTAGTCTTATTCTTATCAACTGTGACCCTTCTCTCCATTCCTTCTTCTCTTATGTGTTTGGACTGGTTTAGAATTAAAAACCTGTGACCTTCATAGCAGCCGTGCCCTAGGTGATCGTCCTCTTCGGCTCTACAACTGCCTCTGCCCAGTGGGCATTAGGTCTTTGGAGAGCCTGGGGTGTAAGGAACCATGACTGGTTTTCCACCTGGCCTGATTGCAGGTCATAAACATTCAGTGCACAGTGAGCCTGGACCTGATTCCCTTGAGGGGAGGGCACCACCAGAGGTCAGGGGACCTCCCCTGGCCTTCCCCCACCATCAGCCTGCAATACCGGGCTGTGTCCACTGTGCACCTGGCCTCTTGCACACAGGTGTCCCTGTGTACCTTGTCTTCCTTGATTGCCTTTGTCTTTGCCGTCTGGGACTTAGGGACTCAGAACGCTGCTGAGGAGGGTGTATGTTGGGGGTTGTGTGACTGAGCCCTTGTAGGCTTTTTGGAAATTCATTTCATGTCTCTAGGAGTGGAGGGGGGGGGCTTCTGGTTCAGATAAGAAACTAAGTATGGGGACTTTTGAAGGTCCAGTGGCTAAGACTCCATGCTCCCAGTGCAGGGGGCTGGAGTTCAACCCCTGGTCACAGAAGTAGATCCCACATGCTACAATGAAGATTGAAGACCTAGCATGATGCAACTAAGACCCACTGAAGCCAAATAAGTAATTTTTTTTTTTTAAAGAAACTAAATATGGTTGCTGTAACCACAACTGTCCTGTGGAAAGAAGTGGGCATGGCTGGGCTTTACTACTTACTGTGGCTGAGCTATTGTGACTGGCTTTCTGAGTTCTGCGTAGGGATATAAAGATGAAGGAACTGTGCTCTGCTGAGAACTGAAAATGGTTGACTAATGATTTCTCAGGTTTGGGATTGGAGGGCTGCAGGGACAGGCATCTTGGAAACAGAAGTACTTTCTAGTATAGAAGGGTTCCCTGGGCAGTTTCCTCTGTAAAATGCATTCTTAGACTTTGTATTCTTTTTCTCCATAAAAGTATTTTGGCTCTTAAACTTTATGATATTGCTTGGTTTCATAGGGGCAGGAATTCAGGACCTGGGTTTTAGACTGCTCCACTGAAGTGTCTCAGTGGTCAAACAGAGTTCTCTTTCCCCAGGTGCTTTCTGAGACTTCCTCCTCGAGGCCTGGTGGGTACCGACTCTTTTCATCTTCACGGCCACCGACAGAGATGAAGCAGAGCGGCCTAGGTATGGCTTTCCAGCATCTCTGACCTGTTATTGGGAAGGGGTGTCTGTCTGTTGTTTAGGGTTTTGTTGTGGGAAACCGTAGTCATGGGAGTTGGGGTCACCTAGTTGGTGGAGTTGTTGGATGGGGCTGGGGAGGATGTAGTGGGAGAAACCATATTCAGATATGAACTTTGACCCCAGATGATTGTCTCCATTCTAGGATGGTGTTTGTGTTTTGGTTTTTTACACGAACCCCTATTTCTTTGACTGAGGGCATTTTTCTGGCTTCACTTCTTATTCCTTATCTGTCCCTTCAGTCTAGCCCAGACATTAAGGGTCCATAGAGACGGTGACTGTTCAGAGTCATCAGAGACAAAGCTGTAAACAGATGTCCTTGTGAGCCCCCCTCCCCCACCCCCCACCCAATAGGGGTCATGTTCCTCATTTGGAAAACTTGTGCCACGTCTTCCTTTGAGACCTGTGTTTATTACATCCCTGCTCTGGCCCCTCCTACCTCCACACCCTCCCCTTCATCCTCTCCTAATCCTGTAATTTTTTTTCCTTCCTTCCTGAAAATTGAGGGACAAATCTGAAACTGATGTAGTGGCAGAGGCTTCTCTCAGGACTTTGAGGGAATGTCTCTTGATTTTTTTGATTCCTGGAGAGGGGTGGAGAACATCATTCAACCTTTCCTAAGAACACAGACTACAGGAAGGACCAAGCCTAAGAGGGTATTGTATTCTTCGGGAGTGGGGAGTGGTCCTTGGGAGGGGCTATCTTTGGACAGTGCCTGTGAGCCAGTTCCCAGACCTGGCAGAAAGACACATGTTGTGGGGTCTAGACTCTGTTTTTCTCTCTCTTGTCCCATTATGCTCCTTTCATTATTATCTGTTACTTTTCTCCTTGGCACTCAATTTCCTGGCCCCCAAATGGCCAGCATTTGGACCAGCAAGGAGAAGAAAGGTTTGGGGGGAACTTTCCAGGCTAATTGTATGGGAGTAGATTGTCTTCTGGAGCCCTAGAAAGAGGTAGATGGTTTGGTGCATGAAAAATAAGTGACAAGTGTCTAGATCTATGCTATGGAATTCTTTCTCCCAGAAGTCCCATAAAAGACTGGGTTTCAGGTAGGCTGGGAAAGAGGATGGGTATGTCTGGCCCAGTTAAGGGGCAGTGCTGTCAAGAAGAAGGCAGAGATCTGAGTCTGGTGGACAGATGGTGGTGGTAAGGTAAAGACTACCCCCTGAGACAATCCAACGCTGAACAGTACGGCACTGGCAGGACTACACCAGAAAAATCCCCTAGTGGAGGAAGTGAATATAGAACAAAGCCTGGGGGTGGTCTGGGACAGAGCCAGCCAGTTTCAGCTTCTCTGAAGAAAAGCAGACATATTTAGCAGTCCTTGTCTCTCTCTCGAGCTCTGTCCTAGAGGTGGTTTACATCTGAAATGTAGGATAAAATGACATACAGAGAAATGGTGCTCGGTTCCAGGGTAGAAGTTATCAGCCATCAGAACTTGTTGATATCTGTGATGACCCTGAAGTGTTGGGGCCCCTGAAAGCAAGTCCCTTCTCTATGGGCTTAAAGGAAACTGACCTCCTCTCCCTCTGTCCATTTCCCGTATGAATGTCAGGTTCCCACACCAAACCTGGGGTCTTGGCTAAGATGGATCTAGACGTGGAGGAGAAGATCCCACAAACTGCAATGTTTGTCTTGTTTCCTCCTGCCCATTGTCTCTCTGTGGGCAGTAGTAGGGAGGAGAGGGGACCATGGAGGGGCCCAACCCTCCTCTTGATGAGGTATTTGAGACATGACTCACTTGATTTACTTGCTTCAGGGATTTTTCAAGTTTTATTTACTCCTCTTATTGGCAAGAGCTCTCTTTGCTTTCTTTGAACTTACATTGTGAGCATCTGGCATTGAGCATAGGACTTACAAGACAACAAACTTTCAAGAGCAGAAAAAAACATGAGATTTTTGTTGTTTTTCTGCTCATCAGGTTTTCCTGAGTAGGGTGCTCAGCGGTTAGTAGGTGTGTTCTACATAAATCACCTGGGCCCTCACATGCCTTTCAATCTCTGTCTATTTTCACTTCAGAAACAATGCTCTGTTTCTTTCCAATGAAAAAAATCATGATTTCCTTTCTAACGGCACAGTTGATCGATCCTAAGAGTTAGGAGACCCGGATTCTAGTCCAGCTTAGCTCTGAACAAACTGTATGACCTTGAGCAAATGACATCGTTTTTGAATCTCAGTTTCCTCATCTCTAAAATCAAGAGGTTGAACTGGACAATCTTTAAATCCATGCCAGCTTTAAAAATTTAGTGAGTCTCATACTTTCTTGGGAAAGGTAAAAAGGCTAAAGGAGAACAGAAAGGAGGGAATGTTGAATGAAAAACTTAGGAGGAATTGAAACTTATGAGAACTTGGTATTTGAGTTGACTACTCAAAACTTAGTCTCTAGTTCCAATCAAAGCTCTTTCCTTTCACACATGTAAGGGACTCAATCTCTGGGTTCTTCTAACCCTATTTCAAGCATAAGGAGCACTGAATTATGTCTAGGGAGAGCAAGAGGAATCCACCTGTTCTTCAAACATTCCTGGGAGCCACCTAGAGAGCACAGTTTATCCCTCTGAGTAGCTTTGGTCCCCTAATATGACTAACCCTGTATTCGTAGTGGCCTCTTGTATCCGCCAAGCAGAATTTCGGGAGACTCCTCACTCTGCTTGCCCAGCGTGGCTGTGGACAGTAGTGATAGCTGTCTGTGGTTATGCGAGGTGGCCACTGGGCGGTGGCTCTGAATGATTATGTGTGTGTGTGTCCTGATGTTGTCATGTGAAGTCATGCATACTTCTGTGTGGTAATTGCAGCTTTGCGTGGCTACTAATGCACTCCCGGCCTTGCAGGCTCACAGTGCACGGGGCTGTTCAGCACCACAGTGCTGGGGGGCTCCTCCAGCGCCCCGAATCTTCAGGACTACGCCCGCAGCCAAGGCAAAAAGCTGCCACCTGCCAGTCTGAAGCACCGAGATGGTATGTGGGTGGGTTTTGGGGGGGCAACACGTTTCTTCATGCGTCCGCCAGCAAAGACACAGCTCAAGAACAATTCATGCTTAAATAGCACTGACACTGGCCTTATGACAAGTTTCCTGCATCAGTTATTGAGAGGAGAAAGAACCAGGACCCCCACCACCCCTCCATTTGCATTCCCTCTCGCCATACGAATACTACTTATTTATGCTTATCCCTTCATAATCTCCCACATACAGCCCTGCTGCATCAGTTTACTCCACCTTTGTATTCTTTCCTGGATTCTGGCCTGTAGGGGTAAGGACCAAAAAGGGCGACCCATGGTCAGGAAGAATGCAGTGGTACCTTGAAAATCTAGGAGGTCAGGGATGGGGAAGTTGTTCAGCCAAGGCAGGAAAAACAATCCGGGAAGAGATTGGGGGAAGGGATGAGAGTTTCTACAAAGGTTTTTATTTCTGAATGACCAAAAAGAGGATGTGGTGGTGAGTTCAGGGCTGTTTGTGGGGCCTTATTGTGGTAAAGATGACACACGGGTTCCTGAGAGGAGATTATCCAAAGGAAAAGATTGAAATACAGTAGACAGGGACCTACAGGGTGGGGGTGGGAGCAGATTGTTACTAACAGTAAAGAACAGAGTATGTTGTGAACAAATTCCAGAGCAGAGGGCGGGGACCGCGGTGGGTATAATCCCCGTGATGTCTTTTCTCCCCAGAGCTCTTGTTTGTCCCGGCCGTAAAACGATTTTCTGTGTCGTTTGCAAAGCATCCGACTAACGGTACGTTTGCTTCTGACTCAACGTCATTCCTCCTCACCATGTCACTGCCAGACACTTAACCTCTGAGTTCTGACACTGACTTTCCTCTCCCTCCACTGTGTTGACACCCTGCTGTCTGTGAATGAACCACTCACTAATTGTCCCTTCTGGGGTACACCCCTTGTTGTGACAGACCTTAGTCTCAGCCACAGCCTGGCTGCCCGATCCCTGGGGCAACTCAAGGTCTTACTTCTGTGGTCACCTTTATCACCATTGTGTCACTTTTTTCAGCGTTGTCACCAAAACATGAGTTACACCTCTTCCTTTCCCATCACATGACTGCCAGGCTTCCTACAAACATGATAATGGTTTCCCTTCTTAGGAAGAGAGTACTATTTCCTGTATCATCCCCATTTCTTTTCTCTTTTTTCCCCCAACTCCTCAGCTTATATAATTTTGACTTTCCTATTTTCTTCACCAGTTCTTTCGTTGGAGTGGATGACTAATTTGCTTGTGGAACAGTGCTGCGGTTCCCAGTTCCCAAGCCTACCCATAAAGGGCATTAGTCTTGAGCATATCGTGTTCCATCTCTATATTCCTGTCTCCCACCATTGTGTGTATTTTGTGTGGCTCTTGTGCTCCTGACATCTGCTTTATGTTACTACTAACCTAGGGCTTGGGCCTACAAAACAGGAGCCCAGATTGATTTGGGATAAAAGAGAGAGAGGACTAGGAGGTTCAGGAAAAAGAATTGTGCCTTGAGGGTTTCCACGTGGTTTCCATGTCGCCCCAGCCTCCCTGTAGCACTGTGGCCTCAGAGAAGGGGAGGTAAAGAGTAGAGATGTCTCCTGGGGGTTCTGGGGTAGCTTAGGAATAAATCATATTTCGAGAATACTGAAGAACAACAGTGTCTGCCTGCTCTAAGGTGGGAGAGTTTGGAGATCTGTGTAAACCCCAGACTTAAGGGCTGTGGTCTCGTTTGTAGGGTGCTGAGGGGCCCAGGACTTGCCCTTTGCTTTATCCTTTGTATCCTTAGTTTCTCCCTGCGTTGTGTCTTGTCTTCAAGGTAAATCCAGTTTTGTTTGATATGATTTTCTTCTGTTCAAGAGCTAAGACTCTGTGAGGGAGGTGAAATTAGCCTGGCCCCCTGGCTGGAAGAAACTCCAGGTACTGATCACCTGCTCCTTAGCCAGTGGCAGCTGCTGGATTTCAGCCAGTTCAAGCCGTACCTCTCCACTCAGCACTGCTGGGGTCTCCCTGATCCGACTAGTCTGTGCATCTTCAGTTTATACCCCACCCCCATCCCCTGCTCCCACTCATGCCTGTGACAGGATCTTCCCGTTCTGAGTGGCCTGGCTGTGTGGTTAGCCTCAAGCTCTTCTGGCCTTCATGCCACAGTCATCTCCAGAGTATAACCTCATGCACCAACCCACAAACTACAGCCCTGGATTTGGACTTGGAGGCTTGTTACTTGGGGGGGTGGGGTGTGGTAAAGAAGATAGTACTAGGAACTTGGGCCCCTGACCTCAGAGCTAAATCACAACTCTCCTAAGTAATTTGTGAGAAAAGATCCAAATTCCCCAAATAGATCCTTAAGCCTCTGTATGTATCTCTGGTTTCCTGAAGCCTTGGTTAGCAGCTTTACCAATTGAAGAAAAGAAGAATTAATTCTACCAAAAGGAGGAGAGGAAGAAAGACCTGGACAATTACCGTGCAGGAGAGTAATTTCAAGATCCCCTCCAATACCCTGCATGCATCCTCAGGGCTGTGCTGGCCTTTGTTCTTGAACTTGAGCTTGAAGGCTAAAGTGTCTGAGAAACCAGAATCTGGGATCTAGGAGAAATAGACTTGAAGTTCTTATGTCTCTTGCTGGAGGTTATCCAGATTTAATATGGCCCTCAAGACAATATGAGGGCTCTACCCCATGGCCAAATGTCACTGGACCGACCCAGCAATTACAGAGCAGATGCTCTGTCCGCAATTGCTTGCAGCAGCTTAGTTCACAGCAGTGTGCCAACCTACTGTCCATCATCACTATCTCTTTGCCATGACGCGTGGCTTTGAAATAGCAGCTGGAGAAACTGGACCTGGCTTTGAGAAAGAGGCCAGGCAATGCTACTTCCTTGCTTTGTTGGGAGAACATCCCTCCGCCCATCCCTGCCTGTATTCCTGGTAAGCTGCCGTCACATCCTCTGCCTGCCTCAAGTATGGAAGTATGGCCCCTTACTAAACTGCACGCTGAACTTACCAAGGTGAACTAATAGAGTGGGAAAGAGACTGTGGCTCTCCCTTATCCAGAGCGTCAGTGTGCCCACCAGATCCGCCCAGCTCATTCTCTTCTAGGGACCCACACAGTTGTGCGACTGTGGATACAGAAATCTCTTGACATCCGAACTAGAGTCTTTGGGAACCATAGTCACATAGGTCACCCTGTGGAACCCACCCCTGGTCTGGGAGTTGTGAGCAGTTGTCCTTATCTCCCTTGATCCTACTTTCTCTAGATCCTATCATCAGTTTATAAGACCCTGTACCTTTTTAAAGGCTGTGTATTTGAACAAGAGTGAAGGATGATTAATCAGTTTCGGCATTTTTACATATTGATTCCATTTTTTACATGCTGTTTTGAAGATCACCTGGTTTCCTGCTCATCTGTGTCAGCTGCCTAACACCAGCCTTGTCTGTGGCTGGCTTAGAGTCTGGTCCAGACGACCCGGTCTGAGTCTTTAGGAGCCTTTTAGCTTCAGGCTTTATCTCGATCACCTATACCATTCTTGACCCTCTTCTCCCAGTGACTTTGAATCTTTTCATCTCTATCCCAACCTTGTAAATACATTCATCTGAGAAGCAAGCCCTAACCAGGGTTTATCCAAGAACGATCAGGGACACTGGAGTTCCCAGCTACAGAATGGCCAGCTCACCCGGTCCAGAAAGATGTGACTGCAGTCTGTAAGCACTGACTGAATTCTGCGCAACGAGAAGCGGGGGCGGGGCTGCTGCCGGATGGGGTCTCACTTTCCCATTCAGACTTAGCATGATGCCAGTACTCTTCCCCCCTGCGAGGGCTGCCCCGTGGCTCTGACCATGGCTCTGATGTCTCTGCTTCCCTCTTAGCTCACCTTGGAGCTGAATGGCCCCGCCTCCCAGGAATGCTTCTGTCATCCAGCGCCCCCCTCACTGTCTCTCCCTCTTCTCTCTCTTTATCTCCGTGCTTCCTGCCGTGGTCCCCCAACCCCTCCAGAGCTGCTGGATGACCAGCACCCTGTGGTCCGGTTGCTGCGCAGTTTTTCCTCTGACTGCACAGGGGGCCGGCCAGTGTCCTTGGATGCCACGCTGGCGCATCACCTGCACCAGTGCTCCTACCACCTGCGCCTCTTCCGGAACTGGCTGCGCTCAGGCCAGGATGACCCCGAGTGCCTCTACGGTACCCCCTGCCACCAAGCGGGCTGCTGCCACTGCGCTGGCTGGGACTGACTGCTTTGCTTCTTGCACTTCTGGCAGGAGCGCCCACCTGCTCCTTTCTCCTCTCTACCCTGAGGTTATGTGACTTGCATTTAGTTGCTTGGATGGGACTGGGGCCAGGCTGCCTGGTGGCTGTAGTGCTGGCTGCTCATCCTCTTCCCACTCTCCTTCCTCACTGCCTCCTAATGTTACCTATTCCCAGTGCTATTCGGTACAACAGCAGTCTCTTGCCCTGGAATCTATTCTTATCTCTGTGACCACCATCTTCAAATCCAGATGTTTCTCTAGCTGCCCTGAGCAGCTGGGGAATGTACCTCTCCTGCCTTCCTGCCATTAATGGAGGCACAGAGGTCTCAGTTGCATCCTTGAAGCGACCAAGGGCCAAAGGTTAGAAGATGGTCAGGTATAATCCTTTTGAGTTATGTAGGTTTTAATCATTGTCAGACTCTAGGCTATGTCTTGCATAAATGTTGCTGTCCTGCCTACCCTTAGTCCCTCTCAAGAGCTATAAAGGAAGCATAGGAAAGATGAGGGACTGAAAAAGTGGTTGAGATGTATGCTTCTTGATTCTCTAACAGGACCTTTTTTTCCATCAACAGGCCCTGAGATTAGAGTCGGTTTATCCTTCACCCTACAATGTAGATCTACATTGGAATTGTGGGGTTCAGAGCAGAGAATCAGTATTTATTCTTTTTTCTAGGGGGTTTGCCTCATTTTCCTGAAGGAATAGAGAAATCCTAGCAAGTCTGGGGTCTGCAGTGAGAGCAGAGGAAAGAAGCTTTGATGTGATGGAAATAACCAAGAAAGAACTTCCATCCCCCAACCTGTTCATGCATGTGTTTTCCTGAGCTGAGCTTCACATCTATTGCATGCCCTCCAGCTTCCAAATATCCTAGCCTTTCTACCCACATCCTAAATGTGCATGAACCCCTTCTCAGATCCCCAACCCTCCTCCCTAATCTGGTTCTCTAGTATGTGATCCCTGGAATCTGCTGTTTCTTCCCAGCTCCATGACTCCCTACCTCTCATTTAGACCTTCAGTTGCACCCCTTCCCTCTGGACCTTTGTTCTATTCCCCATCCACATCCCCCCTCCGCCCCTGAAAGTATAAGAAGAGTATGGGTGCTTACCTTATTGGGATTGTGTTGATTTTTCCATGGGACATTGCAGGCTTTCCATAGGTAGGGTGAGAGGTGATTTCACTCACCCAGAGTTGGGAAATTTTTAGGAAATCTGGAGGTGACAGAGATAGACTCCTGTAGGGGCTCTAGAATTCCCTCTCCCGAGAATCTTGGATAGCCCACACTGCAAAAGCCACAGACACTCCTGATGGTTCTCAGAGACTCTTCCCTGCTTCCTTGGCCAGTTGGAGTATATCCAGCAGGAATAACACTGTCTTTCCTCAACTCTTTTCTAACAGGATTTGAAGGGTGCTCCATGGTGCCTACTATTTACCCCCTGGAGACACTGCATAATGCCCTTTCCTTGCGTCAAGTGAGTGAATTCTTGAGTAGAGTCTGCCAGCGCCACACTGAGGCCCAAGCACAGGCGTCTGCAGGTACAGCGAATCCTCTTATCTTGAACCACTATCTCTGCCCCCACTCCATGCTCCCGAGAGCTTGAGTGGTAAGTTAAAAAGATAGGCACTCCGAAAAAGTTGACTTGAAAAAATGTTTAACTGCATAGGTCAACTCAAAAGCATAGAACTATCACTCCTTCCAAGTTAATTTATAAATTTAATGTGATCTCAGTAAAAATACTACTGTTTTTCTAAAGTCAGACAAACTGACTTTGAAGTGCTCATAAAACAAACAAATAAAAATAGCCAAGGAAATCTTGAAAAGAACAGCAATGAAGGCATGTTGGCCCTACTAGATTTTAAAATATTTTATAAAACGTCTATAGTGAAAACAGTGTAATATTGGTACATGAATGGACAGAGACCAAGCAAACAAAATAGTAAATACAGAGATAGTTGAAGTTAGCATTTCAAAATACTAGGGGAAAGATAGAATTAAGGAATGGAGTTGGGACAATTGAATAGTCATTTGACAAAATTTAAAACTGAATCCATACTTCATGTTATATACCAGGATAAACTCCATAGGGATCAGACTGCAAGTAAAAATTAAACCATGCAAACTTCTCTGGTGGTTCAGTGGTTAAGAATCCTCCTGCCAATGCAGGGGACACAGGTTCAATCCTTGGTCTGGGAAAATCCCGCATGTCATGGGGCAGCTAAGCCCATGGGCCGCAACTGCTGAGCCCGCACACTCTAGAGCCCGTGCTCTGCAACAAGAGAAGCCACTGCAATGGGAAGCCCAGGCACCGCAGCTAGAGTATAACCCCTGCTCACAGCAACTAGAGAAAGCTTGCATGTAGCAATGAAGACCCACCACAGCCAAAAATAATAAGTAAATAAAAATGGGGGGGGGGGAAAGGAAGTGAAAAGACAGCCTATAGAAAAGGGGAAAACATTTGCAAGTCATATATCTGATAAAGATCCAGAATATAACACTTCAACAACAAAAAGACAAGCAGAGACTTCCCTGGTAGCACAGTAGATAAAAATCTGCCTGCCAAAGTAGGGGACACAGGTTCAATCCTTGGTCTGGGAAGATTCCATGTGCCGTGGAGCAATAAAGCCTATGCACCATAGCTGCTGAACCCATGGTCTAGAGCCCATGCTCCACAACCAGAGGAGTCACCACAATGAGAAGCCTGCATACCTCGATGGAGGGTAGCCCCCAATCACTGCAACTAGAGGAAAGCCTGTGCAGCAACAAAGACCCAACCCAGCCAAAAATTAGTTAATTAAAAAGACAAACAACCCAACTTAACAGTGAGCAAAGGACTTAAGTAGACACTTCTTCAGAGAAGATATATAGATAGCCAAGAAACACATGAAATACTGCTCACCCTCAGTAATTATTAGGGATATACAGATCAAAGTCACACCCAGTAGGATGGCTATAATTATAAAAAGGAGAGAAATAGAGTAAAAGCAAGCAGAAAATAAGTGTTGGTAATGGCATGAACAAATTAGAATTTTTGTACCCTGCTGGTGGAAATGTAAAAGGGTGCAGCCTCTGTGGAAAACAGTTTCACAGTTCCTCAAAAACCTAAATATAGTATTACCGTTTGACTCAGAAGTTCCCTCCCACTTTCAAAAGAACTGAAAACAGGTACTGTAACAAACATTTACACACAAAAGTTTATGGTGACACTATTCATAATAGTCAAAAGGTAGAAACGACTGAAGTGTACGTGAATGGATAAACAAAATGTGGTATACGCATATAATCTCATAGTACTATAAGAACTATGAGAAGGAGTGAAGTACTGATACATGTTGCCATATGGATGAACCTCGAAAACATGACAAGTGAAAGAAACCAGAAAAAGTCACATATTGTACGATTCCATTTATATGAAAGATCCAGAACAGAGACAGAGAGCAAATTGGTGGTTTCCAGGGACTGAAGGTAGGGTAGAATGGGGAGTGACTTCTTAATAGATACGGGTTTTCTTTTTTGGGGGTAGGGGGCTGTGATGAAAATGTTTGGAACTAGATATAGGTAGCAGTTGCACATTGTGGATGTGCTAAAGGCCACAGAATTATATACTTTAAGCTGTTACCTTTGTGTTATGTGGCCTTCACTTCAATAATAATAAAAATAAATAAATCATGCAAGTACTAAAAGTAAGCAGGGCTCACGGTGGTAGATTCCTTTATCACTGGAAAATAAGGAGAGCCTAATTGTGACTCAAATTTTGCAAACAATAGGAAAAGATTGATAAGTCATATAAACTTATGATGTTTAAGTCATATAAACATTTTTTTTAAATGTTGCAAACCAGCAGCAGCATCATAAGCAAAGAAGATTTTTTTTTTCTGCATTTTTTATATCACATTTAGGCTTAATCATCCTAAAATACAGAGAACTCTTACATGTCAGAAGGAAAAGACCAAAAGTGTGATTTTTTAAAAAATAGTTTACAAAGAAAGAAATGCAGTGGCCATTACATTTATGAAATGATGCTTAACCTTGATCATAAGAAATGTGCAAATTAAAACTACACTGAGATATCATATCTCACCTATTAGTTTGGAAAAAAATATCCAAAAGTTTGATAACACATTCTCTTGTCAAGTCTGTCACAAGAGAGGCAGTTCCATACATTGTTGGTGGAACGTATGGTGCAAACGCTATGAAGGTAGATGGTGGTGCAAAATGGTGCAACCCCTATGAAGGTAGATTTTGTAATTACAGATACAGTTACTTCCTTTTCTAATAATACAATTTTAGGAATTTATTCTGAAGGTATTGTTCACAAATGTTGAAATAACATTTGTACAGAGTTATTGATTTTGTACAGAATATTGGTTTTGTAAACAGTTATTGTATGCTGTTTATTATTATTTTTGGAAACAACCCAAAGGTTCTTCAGTACAAGAGTGGTTGAATAAACAGTGGCATGTCCACTCAAATGAGTGCTGTGCCTCTGTTAAAACTAGTGAGGAAGGTCTGTTGCTTGTGGAGGGGGGCAGTATATGTGTCTTGATACGAAGTAATCTCCAGGATATATTGTTAACATAAACAAAAAAGGTGTAGGAGAGTGTTGATAGTACATTACCTGTTTTATAAGGAGGGGAAATACAGGGAAAATATACATATTTGCAAAGAGAAATTCTAAAAGTAAATACCAGAAGCTAACAAAAATGTTTACCGCTGGAGAGCAACAGAAGTGGAGCTGATGGCATGAAGAAAAAGCAACTTCCTCTGAGTATGCCTGTTTATCAATCTTTGACTTGTGAACCTGTAAATGTTTTTCAGAATGTAAGACTAAATCAAAAGAAGCAAATCCTAAAGTTGAAAAAGAAAAAAAAGGAAAGAAATTACCCTAACTGTATATCAAAATAGTAATATAATCACATAGGGAAAATAATTTTTCAAGTAAGTTTGAAGTACTGTGCTTTGACTATAAATCCTTTAGTGGAAAAAAATGAGGATTATAAAATAATTATAATCCTCATTCAATGGTTTGTTAATAGTGAGGTTGATACTGTTTTGTAACGTACATGTCATATGTACACACACACATATAATAGAGTAATGCAAATAAGTATGTTCCTATCAAGAATAATAATTTTCAAAAATAAATAAAGATATAAGTAAAAATTCAAAAATATTTTTAAAGTATTGTAATATTAAATTTGAATCGATAATATCAATATAAATTCTGTTTTTTAATGCATTTTGTAACTTAATGCATTACAAACAGTATAACTGAGCTTCCTTAGCACCTGGATTTTGGTTTCCACATATCATCCCCACTAAAAGCAACCAGGATTCCATGGTTGTATTCTTGGTCTAGGTCCATGTTTTTTAACCTTTTCTTTTTTTTTTTTTTATCACATCCTATCCTATAGAGTATTTTTAGACTCTTTCCCTCCAGTCACTCCCCACCACATGAAACTTTAGTACGATAGATTAGTTTATATCTGTTAATGTAATGTCACCATTTGAGGGACCACAAACCAGTGAAATATCTTAAGTTTTTTCACTTTCACCAAGAACCAGTTTTATTGAGGATGCATTATCTAGGGCATGGAAAGCTCAAGGTGATCCTGAGGCACGCTGTAACAAAAACAAGGAAGCACTCAGGCCTGAAGAGGCTCCCACTGACCAGAACTGGATTATTTTAGCATTAAAAAGTACCATAATCGATTAAAGTACACTAAACATATGAACATCCACAAGCTCATAATGAATCTTACAAGAAAGAGAACAAAAATAATAATCATCTGCCACTATTGGTGAATACTTTTTACCAACTCTTTCTTCTGAAAACTAATTAAAGGGAAATAAACCCTTATCCTACCTGTTCAGTAAGAACTGCAGTTTTAATGTAATTAAATGGCCCCAGTTGAAGAGAGAAAGTTCTTCTTTACAGAAAATATGCCAGCTAATAAATACAGAAGACTTAATAGAATTAGAAAATCACTGCTTGACACTCCTAATAAAATAATTAAGGATCATCAGTGGATACTAACACAAAGAAATGTTGATCAGGTTCCACAGTGCCAAAGGATCATCTATAATCAGAAGGGGAAACCTTTTAAATGGTGAGATCTTGTGAGCCCTACTTGAACCTCATTAGTAAACTTAGCCTCACCTACCGATTTCAGGAGATACAGGAGACATTGTTTTGACCCCCGGGTCAGGGAGATCCCCTGGAGTAGGAAATGGCAACCCACTCCAGTATTCTTGCCTGGAAAATTCCATGGACAGAGGAGCCTGACAGGCTCCATACAGTCCATGGGCTTGCAAAGAGTTGGACACGACTGAGCATGCGCGCACGCCAACTTAGTCGTTAACTTAGTGGGATAATGAGACTATGTGTCTCCAATATGATGGACATATTCAAGAATATTCTTTAAGTATTCTTGCCAAGGGGCTTCCCTGGTGGCTCAGAAGGTAAAGAATCTTCAAAGAGTGCCAATCTTCAAAGTCTACAAATAATAAATGCTGGGGAGAGTGTGGAGAAAAGGGAGCCCTCCTTGACTGTTGGTAGGAATGCAAATTGGTGCAGCCACTGTGGAGAACAGTATGGAGGCTCCTTAAGAAGCTAGGAATAAAACTACCATATGATCCAGAAATCCCACTTTGGGGCATGTATCCAGAGAAAACCATAATTCGAAAAGATACATGCACCCCAGGATTCATAGCAGCACTATTTGCAGTAGTCAAGATATGGAAGCAACTAAATGTTCATCAGATAAATGGATGAAGAAGATGTGGTGTGTGTGTATATATATATATATATATATATGTATGTATGTATATATATATATATATGAATATTACTCAGCCATAAAAAAGGATAAATAATGCCATTTGCAGCAAAATGGATGGATCTAGAGATTATCATACTAAGTGAAATAAGTCAAAGATAAATATCATATGATATCACTTAATATGTGGAATCTAAAGTATGATACAGATGAACTTACTTATAAACAGAAATAGACTCATAGATGTAGAAAACAAACTTATGTTTACCAGAGGGGAAAGGGGGAAGAGGGATAAATTAGAAATTTGGTATTAACGTATACACACTACAATATATGAAGTAGATAACCAACAGGGGCCTACTGTATAGCACAGGGAATTATATTCAATATCTTATACTATTGAATTACAGTACATCCACAGTGGAAGTACAAATAGCCACTTCCACTTCCAGTGGAAATGAATCTGAAAAAGAATATACATTTATATTTTGATAACTGAATCACTTTGCTGTATACCTTTGTTGTATACAACATTATAAGTGAACTATGCTTCAGTTTTTTAAAAAATTATCAAAACCTAAAAAACATTTAAAATGTAAGCATTCATTTTTATACTACAGAAAAGAAAAACACTTGAATCATTGAATCAAGCCTTTTATATCTGACTTCCAGTTTATAGGGATAGTGAAACAAGTTAAATGATTCTATGAGGAGGCAATCAGACAAATCCAGAGAGTGGAATATGACATTCTATGAGACAGCTGGCCTGTTCTTTTCAACAAGTAACTATGAAAAAAAAAAGTCACTATGAAAAAAATAAATAGGGGAAGATGTATTCTAGATTAAAAGAGACTTTGAAGACATAATAAAATGGAATGCATGATCCATGTTTGGATCTTACTATGGAAGACATTTTGGGATTAACTGGGGGAAATTTGAATATGGATTGGGTATTTAGATGATATTAGGGTATTTTTTTAAGTTTATCTGGTGTATGGCTATATAGGAAAAATGTCTTATACTTTAGAAATGAATACTGAAGTATTAGAAGTGAAATGTTTCATAATGTTTGTCATTTATTTTAAAAAACTTTAGCATGAAGAAATAGATGAAACAAATATGGCGCAATGTTAACATGTTAAATAAAGAAGATGAATATATAGGTATTGACTGTACTAGTCTTTCAAGTATTTTAAAAAAATATGTTTGAAAATATTCATAACGTAGTTTAAAATATTAAAAATGGTTTGTATGAAGGGTCCCTAGGACATGCTACTTCTCTGCCTGAGGAAGTGTAAGTCAGATTTGACTTATATTTAGAACCTGTGGCTGTTGAATTCTTCTTCATGGGCTTTTTTTTTCCCCTTCCCTCTCCCTCACCTGTCCAGCCCTCTTTGATTCAATGCACAGCAATCAAGCCTCTGACAGCCCGTTTTCTCCACCTCGCACTCTTCATTCACCTACCCTACAACTCCAGCAGCGCTCTGAAAAGCCCCCTTGGTGTAAGTAATTCTCTTGAAACTGCGTAGGCAAGGCCGAGAGGGAATGGGAGGAGTGGAGGGATTGGTGAATGAGAGACTCACCCCAGGAGGGAAACAGAGATGAGGGCTGAAAGACCAGGAGTAACCAGGCAGGAAGGCAGTCACACTTGCTGCTTCCGAGATGAACGGCACACCTGTTTCCTCTCTCTCGTCCATCACCTCTGTCCTCCACATCTCCTCTGTCTTACTGGGAAGAAAGTGAAGGTGCTAGTTGCTCAGTCGTGTCTGACTCTTTGCAACCCACGGACTGTAGCCTGCCAGACTCCTCTGTCTGTGGGATTCACCAGGCAAGAATACTGGGGTGGGCGGTCATTTCTCTTCTCCAGGAGATCTTCCCAACCCAGGAGTTCAACCCAGGTCTCCTGCATTGCAGGTGGATTCTTTATCTCACTGGAGGGGCTCCTAAATGATAGTGCCCAAGGGGGTCCTTTGGGGAAGAAAAGATGAAGGCTGCATTCTCCTTAGATCCCCATTTGGTTGTCCACAGCCTTCTTAAGTAAAAGTGACTTGGGAGGGACCCTGGATATATAGAAAAGCTGGGAGAAAGGAACTAGAATCAGCTACTACTTTCTACATGTCCCTCCTTTGCAGTTGTCTCTTCTCATTTCAAGTTCAGGTGTTGTTTTTTCCCATCTCTTCTTTATAATCTCAGCCTATCATTATTTATCCCTGGTAACAGGGTGAACAGTGGAACCACAAGGAATTCTTAGGGTAATTGTAGGTAGGGAGAGAGACCAGTGGTGATCTCTGGGGGATTAGGGGCAGAGACACTGGCAGTGGAAGAGTCCTCCAGGGACTATCTAAAATCAAACATGGCTTTTATTATTTTACTTGGATAGAACTGGAGCAAAGATTCATATTTTAGCATTGGAGTAGACTTGTAGAATTTTATGCTTCTGACACCCTTTATGCAGAAGAAACTTTCCTTCCTGACAGCAAGAATTCTTCCCCTGAATTTCAAATTATTCTACACTCACCTTGCCATTAAGCCTTTTTCTCTGTCCAGTAGTGTTTATAGGTTCTGTGCCCTAGAAATCTTACCTTTCTTCAACTACTGTTTTCTGTCTGAATTCTTTGATTTGTCTGAATCAAACTACTAGCTGAATATTAAGGCTACTACTTCATCATCCTTGGGTGAACTCAGCTTACATCTTTTTTCTTCTTTTTTTAAAAAAATCTCGGTATCAGATGTGTACTTCACTTATAAACATTTTCTTTGGGGTCTATCTGCCCTAAATAGGCCTTGTTGACCCCAAGCCACATTTCTCTTTTTTTTCTGCATGAAGCAGATGATCCTTTACAGAAAAGAGATAGCTGGCATTCCTTAAACTCAATGACTAATGAATCATTAGTTTTCAGACTCAGGCTTATCAACTCTCCCAGTTCTCCTGATGGCAATATATTCAGGTGTCCTTTATTTCCAAAATCTATCATTGTTGATATTAGAGTGGTTTAAATATAAAGCTGCAGTACCATCAATAAATAAAATATTTACAAAGGGAAAGGTAAATTAGTTCCCTGTAAGGATCAATGAAGAAGTAGAGGTTGGGGTAGTAGTTGTCCCACAGTGTAATTAAAGACTTAAGTCTTTCATTTTACTACTTCAGAATCTAGGAAATTCATGTTTATATTTTATATGTATATAATATCCATAAAGCTGGAACATTGTGTGTCCCAAAACTTGGAGGGTCCTAACCCTGGATCTATGGATGGATTTCAGGGTAAAGTCTAGGAACTCTAGGAATGATATGTAAACATTAGCGAGGATATCCATATGCACATTTTTCTAGGAAGATAGTCTATGACTTTCATTAGAACTTCAAAGGAATCAGTGACCTCCAGAAAGGTTAATTAAGAACTGCTGTTCTGTGGTAGTCTTCCATCTTTGAGTAAATCACTTTGCTTCCTACTGCTCTGATTCACAAAGTGTTTCTACATTTTCCTGCTTACTTGTTCCTTGGGTAGTAAACAATGATTACAGCTGCCCCAAAAATAAGCTTTAAAAAAATAATTCTTAACCAAAGATGTTTGTCAGATCTAATTGGGAGTGTTTTAACATCCCACACCTTTACTCTAAATCTACAGAATTAAAAAAAAAATCTACGGAATTAGGATTTCTGAAGATAGAACCTGGAAATATGTATTTTTAAAAAATTTCCCATAATTTTGGTATGTAATCCTAATTATGAACCACTGATATGAAGTGTTCATATGCTTCCGAAGTGGGAATGAGGGATCATGGGAATTTGGAGTTGGAATGGGCATACATTTATGAAAGAACTGGATGAAGTGGGCCTCAGTACTCACTCTGAAATCTTAGATGTCCCTTAGTGTTACTCCAGTAGTACACATTAGGCCAGAGCAACAGTTCCTGGGTTAGGCTAACTTAGGAGTCTCTGCATAACTTAGGAAGAATTCAGATCCTCATTCCCCAAGACGTGAGTAATAAAGACCATCTGTTCTGGCGCTTGAACTACAGACGCGGTAGAGCCTGTGCTTCCAGCTTGCTTGACTTGGTCTCTGGCTTTGCTTTGCAGACAGCAGTGGCCCTTCCAGCACTGTTTCCAGTGCTGGTCCTTCTTCCCCTACTGCAGTGGATGGTAACTGCCCTTTCGGCTTCAGTGATCAGCCCTCCCTAAGCTCACACATGACTGAAGAATATCAAGACCTCGGGCTGCTCCAGGAGGCCCCTGGGAGTGGCGCACAAGAGCCGCCTTTAGAAGGGCAGCAAGAGCCTTTTGAACAAAACCAGTCCCCACAGGAACCACCTGTAGAAACCAACCAGCCATGCCAGGAGGTTGCTGAGGAAGTCAGCCAGCCACGTCAGGAGGCCCCTGACAGCAGCCAACCATGCCAGGACATCCCTGAAGAGGTCAGCCAGCCGTGCCAGCAGCTCTCTGACATCCGCCAACAGTGTGAGGAGAACCGCGACGATGTTAACCAGATATGCCAGGAGGTCCCTCAGATCAGCCAACCATGCCAGGATGCCAGCCAGCTATACCAGAAAATCTCCAAAAAAGCTTGCGAACTTTGCCAGGAGAACTCTGAGGAGGTCAACCAGCCATGCCAGAGGGTCCCTGTAGAGACTGGCAGGCTGGTCCATGGGTTCCCTGTAGGGGTTGGTGGCCCGGCCCAGGAAGTCCTTGGGGAGGTTGGCAAGCCCACCCAAGAGATCCCTGAGGAGCTCAGCCAATCATGCCAGGAATTCTCTGTGGACATTGGCAGGCTGACCCAAGGGGCTTCTGCAATCAATTTGTTGTCTCGGGACATACCTGAGTTTGATAACCCGCCCCTAGAGTTCCCTGGGGAGGTTGCTCTGCAGGCCCAGGAGGTCTCAGAGTGGGTGAATCAGCAGCAGTCCTATGTGGTCCCTGAGCTGACTGACCAGCTATCTGGAGAGGAAGTTCCCCAAGTCCAGTGTCCACCTAACAATGCAAACCCTCAGAGCCAGTCTCTAGCCCCTGACCAGAACGCCCCCCTTCCACCAGCAACGTGTGATTCATCATTTTCTCATTAGTGGTGTCACACCATACCAGCCATTTGAGCTAGCAACTTGTCCTGTTGCCTAACTCACCTACCAGCATTAAGGCCTTGAATCTCACCAGAGGTGTCTGAGGAAGCAGTCCTTTTGGCATTGAAGCACATCTGTGCCAGGGTTGGGCATGGGGAGGAGCCAATTTCATGTTCAAAGCAGCCATTGACTTCTCACCCAGCCATCAGACTTGAATACGATTTCCTTCAAGGGTTAGACGGGTCTATCATTACCTAACATTCTCTGATCATCCCAGGAAATCCAAGACTGGTAAAGGAAATACCACTTAACTGCTGAAGACACCATCTATGGGTGCAAAAGGGACTCCAAGGTCTCCACTTTTCTGGGAAGTATTCACAACTTTTCAAGGTACCCTTAGACCATATGTGCACTTGGGGGACACTTGTCTTTGTTAGCATCCTCAGGTGGGCCCAGGATGGCTGTCTGAAATGTCTGGGAAAAGAGAGCTCCTTTCCCCAACAAACATCCATCATGACCACTAATTTTTAGATTGGGCTTATGGGTGTTTCCTTATCATCCCCAATCACCCTCTTGGCCCTAGTCCTGTTCCTCTGGGCAGTAGCTCTAGGGAAAAACAGGTATTAGATTGCTGTGAAAATTTCAGAGTAAACTACTTAAAATGCTGTGGGGTTCTTGGCTAATCTGTAAAGCTGGGCCTCCTTTTGTTGAGAAGCTGTATGGCTTAGGAGATGTTGTAGTAGAGAAAAATCAGGTTCTGTTTTAAGCAATCAGCAGAGATCAATATTGTACAGACACAAGCAAAGATTATATATATATATATATTTCTGTAGTCAACGCCAGGGACAGACTGGCCAAAGACCAAATACTCCAGGGTCCCCAAGAGATTTGTCCTTATATTATTATGTCTTTAGGGCCAGGTGTGATTATGAAGCTTTTCCCAAAGACCTGGGGTTGGGAATGGAGATGAGTAGGAGAGGTTGGAGGGGAGGGCTGGAACATTATGAGTGCTCAATAAATAAGAAATAATAAGAATCATAGTGGTGGTGATGATGTCCTTGTGAATTCAAGAATGGTTATGAATGTAGATCAAGCATGTCTGTTGACTGAATTAATCTGAGCCAGTCAGAAGCCATTGTAGTTGAGCAGAAATGGGCTATAAAAATATGGAGATCAGGCATCCCAGGAAGTCCTTATGGCCGCCAGCCCACCATCCCAAAATTTCTTAAATAAGTCATGTTACCAGGAAGAGAGGTTCTAGCTCTGTGAAGCACCAAAGGTACAATGCCTTCTCACCAGATTGTTGGAATCACTCTCATTTTAACTCTGATGCTTGGGAGTGTCAGGAGGAGTTGATATATAGGGGTTATGCTCTTTCTTTACTCCCTTTATGTCTTTACACTGGGAGAGCTGGAAACACTAGGAAGGCTGGAATCTCCCCCTCCCCATGTATCCATGTATTCACACTTACAATGTGGCCTCTCCTGACATACCCAGGACTATAAAGGGTTTCACTGCAAGGGAAAATCCAACAGTTTACTTGCTGGAGATCCTGACTGCACAGGTAAAAGCTGTTTACAATCTCAACAGGCTCTGGATCTCATAGAGCCCCTCAACTCCTTTCCTCTTTGATGTTCTCCTGTGCAAGGTTCTTGGGCTTCCCTGGTGGCTCAGAGGGTAAAGCGTCTGCCTGTAATGTGGGAGACCGGGTTCGATCCCTGGGTTGGGAAGATCCCCTGGAGAAGGAAATGGCAACCCACTCCAGTACTCTTGCCTGGAAAAATCCCATGGAGGGAGGAGCCTGGTAGGCTACACTCCGCAGAGTAGCAGAGTCAGATGCGACTGAGCGACTTCACTTTACTTTTGCAAGGTATCTGACGCTAGTTATTCAGCCCTAAGCTCTTGACCCCATGGTACGCAGTTCCCCTTCTTCAGAGACACTGCCCTCACCCCCACCCCCTCCAGCTTCTCTCCCCTCCCCCAAACCAAACATGTGTCCCTACGCTCAGTTCCTATTCCCCATCCTTGGGCACTCTCACCTGTTTTTAGAAATTATGCTGGCTTCCCATAACTTTTTTGCCCTTCACCAACCCTGTATTCTTAGGCCTGCCTGGGTCTTGGAACTGCCTCCAGTCATCAAAGGCACTGAGATAAATGACAACGCTGGTAGAAGCAGAGAGGCAGAAGCCAGGGCCCAGCAACTGAGCAATGTGTAGAGTCAGAAAAAGCCTAAGCCTCACTGGAGCATCTGTAATGAACTGGATTTATTGTTAGAGTTGGAGGCGGCTCCGTTACAGCAGCTGGGAACTAGAGCAGGGAAGAGTGGGGAGGAGCAGAGCACAGCAGCATGGGAGAGTGGGAGCTGGAAGAACACAGGCGGCTCGATTTGGTTTCCACACAGTCATTTGGCAGAGAAGCCGAGTCCTGACATGAGCGTCTGGATTTCAGTCCCGCAGCAGTCTGGCAGAGCTCTTACTGGCTTGCTTGGGGTGAGGTCCTCTCCCGGGGTGGTATTTTCGGCCTGTTTTCATCTCCCTCAGTCAGAGTTCAGCCTTAGCTCAGCTTCCTCTCCCTCTTTCCTTCCTCCCTCTCCTTATCCAAGTCCTCTGGCATGGCCTCTGCCTCCCAGATCCTCTGTCCAAGAGTGTGGAGCTGGAAAGGCAGCCAGCGTTCCCACTTCAGCTGCAGGATGGCAGAATGGAATGTTGGGGGAGTCACACGTTGCCGGGGTGTCAAGTGTTTGGACGTCAGGCAGTGGCTTTTAACCCGTTACACACCAGGCCACAGCAGGTGACCACATGCAGATAAGCCAAGCAGGTATGAGAAGGGATCAGGAGAGCTGGAATGGGCAGGTGAAAACCTCCTAAGATCAGGGAGCTTGGAAAGATTCCGTGAGTGGGGCCGGGCTCTCCTTGCTCCTTTGTGCTGCCCAGCAGGCCTGGTCTGGGCATGGTTCTGGGATGTGAATGGTATGAAGCAGGGGCTGGGAGGATAAGCTCCTTTCTTCTCCTCACCAATCTGTTGATCAAAAAAGAGCTTCAAGTTTTGGATTGAGACATTCAGACACGGAGGGAAGCAGTGGGACAGTGTAGCAGTGGCCTACCCCCAGATCCCTGCTGGAACCCAGACTCTGACGGGGAAGGGAATGGGAGATGGACCGAAGGGTGCAGCTCTGAACACCTCACTGACAGTATCCTGCCCCCAGGTCACATAAATTACTACTGGAAGTTCTTCCATGGGATGCTAAATTAAATAGATTAAGAGATCCCTGGGGCTGGGGATATGACCTTCCTCTGTGAGGGAGGAAGCTGCTCGCTGAGGCCCATCCTCACTCTCGAGACATCAACAGCATTGGGCAGTGCTAAGAGAGGGTGTCACTCGAGGGTCCTCAGGCATCAGATGACCTCATGTTCTAATTTTGCATCCTTTCCCTATCCTAATCCTGGTTACCTTTGGTTTGGAGACTCCTTTCAGACATGGATGAGGGGGAAGGATGACCCCTCCCATTAAGCCCAGCCTAAGTTCCCATGAGACATCCTGTCCACCCCACCCCACCCCCAACTCCCATGTCCCTCGACCCCAAAGGACTCAGCAGTAGCCATCGTCTAGGGGAGCTGGGGGAGCGGATCCTCGGGGAAGGGAGAGTGGCTCTTTCAGAACTCAATCTTGCAGGCAGGGAAGGACTCGTCCTGCATGACCACGGTGCTGCTGCTGGCCAGGACTAGAACATTCAGCTGCTGCTGCTGCTCATGGGTCTGCTGGTACCACTCACGGGTCACCTCCGTGTCATGAGTAGGGATCAGAGTCACCTGGGTGGGAGACAAGACAGCCTGAGGTGAGAATGCAGAGGGAAGGGAAGTCGGGGGATGGGCACCTGATAGTTCAGGAAGGACCAGAGCAAAGGCTCCGTCCTCCTTTCATGAACAGAGACTGTGTTCACTGTTGCTCTGAGCATACTCGGACCAGACCACCTCCCTGGTGTTTCCTGCCACTCACCTGAAGATTCTCCCCCCACTGGGCCTTGCCCTCCAGCAGGGCATCCAGCACAGCCCTGCTCGGCTCGCCGTTGGCAGGGTCGTTCCCACTGACCACGTAGTAGGATGCACGCACTCGTCGGAAGAAGTCAAGGTCGGCAGTCTTGCCGCTGCAGTGATTTGGGATGTAGGCAAGATCCACATAGACAGGGGCACCAGAGCCGCCCTTGGAACCCAAGGCCGCTGTAGAGACAACACAGGACTCATTGTAGAGGGAGAGAATTCTTTTGGCAACTGTCTTCCTTCCTCCCACTGGAGCCCCTGACCAGCCACACCCAGACCCAAAGCAGTCTCCCACTCTCGTTATACTTACTTGGTCCGGCCTTGAGTCCGTTGACTAAGCCTTTGGACATGGGGCTGTGTCCATCCTTTTCCTCTGCTGGGGTGACCTGGCTTGGAGTGCTGCGTGGCCGGGGGGGCACCCGGGAGGCTCGATCTGTAGTCCCTTTACCAGGGGTGGGTGAGCGTTTTCCCCGAAGATCCAGACGGCGGGCAGGAGACGCTGGCTTGGCCCTGCCTGGGGCCCTGCGACCAACTCTCCCCTGTGCCTTCTCCTTCTCCCGTAGCCTCTCTACCCTTCCAGACTCTGAGCTGAGCCCCTCGGGGTCAGCCATGCACACGTCAGGGCGGGGAGGGGCTGGCCGAGGGTCTGGCTGGGGGAGTGGGGGCGGGTCATGGCCGGGCCTGGGATGGTGAGTCCCACTGACCCCACCAGCTTTGTCCACAGGCAGGAAGTCCCCATCTTCATCTGAGTCGAGGGCTGCCTCAGCCGTGATGGATGGACACTCCTCAGTTTCTGGCGGAACGTCAGAATCTGACTGTGAGGAGCCTGAGTCGCTGGCTGACGTTGGGGGTGTCTCATCTGCCATGGGGCACGGGCCCCCTGTAGCCCCTGGGGCTCCCGCCCGGCGCCGCCCCCCTCTCCCTACCAGCCGCGCCTCCTCAGTTGAGGGGTCGCTGTCATCCGTGGACCGAGGCAGAGGAGGGTTCAGGAAGGAGGGGGAGAGCTCCCCGCGGTGGGCCCGGGGTTCAGCAGCACAGCCCTGGGGCCCAGCCTCCGTCTCCGGGGAGCTGCTTCTAGGCTGGTCTCCAGGGGCTGCTGCAGGACACGGCGGCTGCTCAGGGGACAGCAGCGTGTCAGGCCGGGGGCTCCTCTCGGCTCCCTCAGGCCAGGCGCCACGCTCCCAGGCAGGGCAGGCCTCAGCCTCGGCTGGGGCAGGGCCCAGGGGCTTGGGGCTGGTTTCAGTTGGACCATTGGTGGCACCATCCCCGGAGGGACCCTGGGAGGGGCTTGGCTTCTTGGCGGCCGCCCCCGAGCACTCCAGGCGACAGGGCAGGGTGCCGTCATCCATGTCCCTGGGCAGGCTCGGAGCCGGAGCTGGGGCCAAGTCCAGGGACGCTGGAGGTGCTGGGCTTAGAGGAGCGAGGTCCCAGAGGCCGTGGGCAGCAGCTTCCATTCCTGGGACCAGCTCTCCGGACCCTGGTTCTGCAGCTCCCAGACCGGGAGGGAAGCGCTCAGCCACGCTTGAAATCACAGGTGTGGTGGCCTCCGAGGAGGAGCCTTCAGACAGGGCGGGAGAAGCGGGCCTCGGCAGACTGGAGAGGAGAGGGGCGCCGGGAGATCCGGGTGACGGGAGCTGGGGCAGTGAGGAGTCCAGGCTGGGGGCCTTGGTCACTTCGAGGTACTCATCATGCCGGGCTCTGGCAGGGGGTCCTGGAGCCAGAGCCAAAGCCCGGTCCCCAGAGAAGGCAAGCGACCCACAGGGTGCCGAGCGGGGTTCCGCTGGGGAGGGCAGCTGTGGAGGCGCTGGCTGCAGTGAGGAGAAGCCAAAGGCTGACGCAGGGAAGTCCAGGCTGGGTCGCGCAGGACCCAGGTGTGAGTCTGAGGAAGGGCTGGTATGTGCCTCGCTTTCGGGCCACAAGGCGGAGGGGCCAGCAGGCGTGGGGTACGGGGGACTTGGGGACTGGGCCTCTTTTTCGGGTTGCTCCCGAGCCCCCTTCTCCAGCTCCGAATCACTCGGGCTGTCATCCCAGGGACCACGGCCTGGTTCCTTGGGGGAGGGGGTTCTCCGATCTGGGCTGCAGCTCAGGATGTGACCATTTAGCGGCGGGCTTGGGCCTTGGCTCTGGGGGATAGGAGCACGGGGGGGTACCGCAGGTGGGGTGAGGCTGGGGTCCATGCCTGGCTCCGGCTCAGGCTCCTGCCTGGGGGGCACAGTGGGTCCCGCCAGAGCTGCATAGCTGAAGGCTGGAGTGTCGAATTGGAGGCGATGGGGTGAGACAGGAGATGAAAGCTCCTTCTCTGCAGGCGTGTCTCGGCCAGCAGCTTCCTCCTTGGTTGAGATGTGGGGGGGCCAGTCCCCAGCGGCTCCAAGAGGAGGCTGTCTAGTGGGGCAGGCGGGGCCCAGCCCCGTGAGCATCATCTGCTCGTAGATGTCTGCGTACTGGAAGCTCCGCTCATCCGGATAGGGAGTGGGCTCTCTCTGCTCTGGCTCAGTCTGCTCCGGCTCCTCAGAGGCATGGCTCTCGCTGGCCTTGGGGACCTGTGAGCTCCGGGGGCTGTGGTCAGGAACCCCCGCTTCTTCTTCCCTCTCCCCTTCGGCCTTGCGGTAGTCCTTCCCTAGCGGGGAGTACGGCCCGCCTTCCAGCTCAGCTGCCCCCTCCTGCACTGCAGCCACCACACCCTCCTCCTCGGCTGTGCCCCAGGAGAAGGGCGCAGGAGTGTGTGGCTCTGGGGCAGGCGTCGGGGGAGCGGGAGCTGGGGAGAGGGGTGCAGGGGGCAGGGCTCTGTCCTTGGGCACCCATGGTGGGATGTCAGCCAGCCAGGAGCGGGTGGTGGGTTCGTCCCTCACGGGTGGCAGGAGCTTAGGATCTGGGATGGGGCTCTCTTGCCCCAGGGCCGGCAGAACCCTCTGTCCAGCCATCTCCGGCGGGGAGGCCGGAGGAGAGATGATCTCAAAGGGGGAGCGGGTCAGCTTGTCCTCTTCCTCCGGTGGCAGCCCAACTGGTGACTCTGCAAGCCAGCGCTCCACCTCCAGTCCCTTCTGTGGTGCGGGCTCCTGAAAGCCCTTGAAGTCCGAGGCCCAGGGACTCTGGGGTGTGTGCTCCAAGGGGGGCACTTCCTGCTCATCATCCGGCCCCTCATCGAGGAAGGTGCTCTCCCGCTCTTCTGTGTACCGTGGCCGGGCCCCGGGGCCCCCCAGCTCATGAGGGAACCAGACCTTCCGCTCACAGCTCAGCTCCTGCCAGTATGTGTCCTGCCCCAGGACCACATCCTCCCTGCCCCTCCAGTATGTGTCCTCCTGCTCAGGAGATGTGTCCTCCCATGTCCGTGCAGGCTCCTTCTGTTCTGCAGCCGGTTCGGTGCTGCTTGGAGATGTTTCTCGCCACTCCTGGACCACATCCTGCTCCTTCCGGTACTTCTCCTCCTGCTCCCGGGCCTTGTCCTCCTGCACTGGGCTCTCTTCCAGCCCCAGAGCTTTGCTCTTCTCCAGCACAGCGTCTTCTTTCTGTTCCACAGCCTTGACTTTTTCTGGAGATTTTTCCTCTAGGATCTTCTCCTTTGGTGCCATGGTTTTATCCTCCTGCACAGGGCTCTCCTGCTCCTGAGTTTTGTCCTTCTCTTCCAGAAACTTATCTTTTTGTTCAGCGGCCTTAATGGTTTGTTCCAGAGCTTCAGCCTTCTGTTCGAGGGCCCAGTATTTTTGTGCTAAGTCCTGGTCCTTCTCTTCTGGGGCCTTGTCCTGTTCAGGGGCTTCATCTTTCTGTTCTAAGGCCTTGCCCTTCAGTGCAGGGACTGTGTCTTCTGGAACTGTGTCTTCTGGAACTGTGTCTTTATGTTCCAAGTCTCTGATTTTTTGTTCTAAGATTTTATCTTTCTCTTCTGGGACCTTGTCCACCTGTTCTAGGGCCTTGTCTTTTGCTTCTAAGTCTCTGTCTTTAGGTTCTAAGTCTTTGTCTTTTCCTTCCAGGGCCTGGTCCTTCTGTTCCAGGGCTGTGTCCCTGTGTTCTAAGCCTCTGTCTTCAAGCTCTAAATCTTTGTCTTTTCCTTCCAGGGCCTGGTCCTTCTGTTCCAGGGCTGTTTCCCTGTGTTCTGAGTCTCTGTCTTTAGGCTCTAAATCTTTGTCTTTTCCTTCCAGGGCCTGGTCCTTCTGTTCCGGGGCTGTCTCCCTGTGTTCTGAGTCTCTGTCTTTAGGTTCTAAGTCTTTGTCTTTTCCTTCCAGGACTTGGTCCTTCTGTTCTGGGGCTGTTTCCCTGTGTTCTAAGTCTCTGTCTTTAGGTTCTAAGTCTTTGTCTTTTCCTTCCGGGACTTGGTCCTTCTGTTCCGGGGCTGTTTCCCTGTGTTCTGAGTCTCTGCCTGTTTGTTCCACAGCCTGACCCTGCGGTTGCCCAGCCTTGTCCTTCTCTTCCAGAACCTCATCTTTCCGACAGATGGCTGTGTCCCTCTGCTCCAGGGTTTTGTCCTGCTTCTGAAGGACTCCATCCACGGGCTCGGGCCCCTTCTCCTTCTGCTCTGGGGGTCTGTCTTTCAACTGTGGGACTTTGCCTTCCCACTCCATGACGATATCCTCCACGGCAGGGCTTGGCAAGGACTCAGAGCTCTTGGTGAGGGAGCTATCAGGTGTGAGAATGTGTTCACCCAGGCTTGTGATCACTCCGGGTGAGCGCCTTCCATCTCCTAGCAGCACAGTGGGAGAGAAGGAACTGGTGGGTAATTTTCCATCAGGGCTCTCATCTGTGATGTCTGCCCGTGCGGAATATCCACTGGTCCCATCTGTGGGAGGTGACACTGTGGCTGCCCGGGCTTCTGGAATAGACACAGGGGCTAGGTGGCAAGCGGTGTCCTCAGCCTGCATCAGAGGCCCTTTTTCTTCCTTTCCAAGGCTTAGTTCCCCAAACTGGAGGGTGCCAAGGCTTTCTGGAGACAGCTGCTTGGAAGAGATGTCCAGCGAGGTCTCTTTGCTGGGACTCTCCTCTGAGAGAGACAGTGACCGGGTGTCTTCTGGAGATCCCTGCGGCCATAGGTCTGTGTGGAGGCGCTGCTCCATCAGGCCACCAGGAGACCTCGGGGTGGCGTCTTGCTTTTTGGCAGCATCTGGGGAGACCACGCTGAGGACAGAGAGGGACTCTGCCTCTTCAGGGGAGAGGCCTCGGTCAGGAATTTGGAGCACCTCCTCTTTCTGAGGTTCCCCAAGTTCTTGGAGTGAAGTTCTGAAGTCTCCGGGTAGGGCTTCTGTTTCTGGAACTGGGCCTGCGGGCTCTCCTGCCTCCACAGTCTCGAGGACGATGGCTCTGTCCTGTTCTGGCAGCAGCTGGATGGTGCGGCCGGCCTGTCCCCCAGCTAGGCTGATGGGTACCTCCTGGGCCTGGGGGCTCGTGGGAGGAGGCGCCTTCCCTTCCTCCTCCAGTGCGCCCTCGTCAGGCCCTGGCTTGGCGGTCTCCTCTGCAGCAACTTCCTTGCCCACACCTGGGATACTCTTAGTATCTCCCCAGGAGTCTGCTTCCTGAAAGTCTTGGGGCTCAGACTTTTCCTCCACTGGGGACTGATGAAAGGGCGTGTGGGTGGCACTGGGTGGGCCAGACGGTGGCGGAGAGGCCATCTTCACTGTGCTGTCATCCGGGCTGAGGCAGCGCTCCTCCGCCTCTCCAAGGGCTGGTTCCCCTGGGTGGAGGGCGTGCCCAGGGGCAGCAAACATCGGGGGTCCATACTGACCATGCAGTTTCTCCGACATCTGTACGCTGGCGGTCTCCTCCTCTTCCTCCTCCACGGCCCTCTCTCCAGACAGGCCTCTCCCTACCATCTCTCCTCTCTTCTCCGACTCCCCGGTCACAGAGACGTCGTCATAGGGTGGAGACTTGAAGCCCTTGTCTTCTTCCAGCGAGGAGGTGGGTGAGATGGTGCCGGCCGACGGCACGTAGTCCAGGCCTTGAGTGGCTTCAGTGCGGGACGAGGGGATGCTCGTGACTGTGTCAAGCAGCAGGGAGCTCTTGCCCGTCTCCTCTGTCTGTGGGGCCGTGAGTGAAGCCACGGACTGGTCCTCGGCCACGGACGTGGCGAAGGAAGAGAGCTTGTCACACTCGGTGATCGAGGTGGCCGAGGACACGTGCTCCTCTTCCGCCAGAGGGGCGGCCACCATGTTGGGGGGGTAGGTGAGTTCCGTCTCGGGTGCTCCGTAGGCCTTGCTGGCGGTGGCGGGAGCAGCGCTGTCAGCAGGCTGGCTGGCCTCAAAGGCGCCGGGACCTTCGGGCCCAGGGAGGTCATAGGTTCCTGTCGGAAACCTAGGTGGGGCCGCGCGCTCCTCGGGCTCGTCGTGGATCTCTTCATCCGAGATGGTCTGCTCAGTCTCGGAGTAGCCAGGGATCGTCTCGTCCTGGATGTAAGACACGTGCTCGGTGGCTCCTGCCGGGGTGGCCAGGCTGCTCAGGAATGACGCGGTCTCCTTCTCCGGGGCCTTGCCTTGGAGTCCCGGTTCCCGGCCGCCGAGAGCCTCCTTGCCCCTGGGCGTCACCTTCAAGGCTTCTTGCATGTGCTTTTGGTAAAAACCCTCCGCCTTTGTCTCCTCCTCTTCCTCCTCATCGGAAGGGGGCAGCTCCTCCATCTCCTCTAACTCGGCCTTCTCTATCACATCTTCCTTTACCTCAGGTTCACTCTCCTCTCGGGCTTCTGTTCCGCCAGGGACCCCCTCGGCTTCCTTTGGCTTCTTTTCCTCCCAGGTATCTTTCTCTTCCTCTGTTTCTGCCCCAGAGTCCGGGCCTCTGTCCTTGCCGCCTCGTTCCTCAGGGACGTCTGGGATGACCTCTTTCTCCTTCACCACAGGCGCTTCTGCTTCCTGCCCAGGGACAGAGGGTGGTGCCACCTGGGCCGCTGTGCTCGGGAGTCCCTCCTCGGCAGTGTCCAGGGGGAGCGGTTTCTCGCCTAGTCTTGCGTCCCTTTGTTCGGTCAGCAACTCCCTCTCCTCACGTTTCAACTCCTCAAAGTCCTGTGTGAGGTCCTCTGGTGAAGACAAGGCCAGCTCCCTTGCTGGGAGGGGTGCGGCCCCCTTCTGGGCCGGGGGTGTCCGGGGCTCAGAGGACAGCTCCTTGTCCCCACGGGTAGCCCGGCTCTTGTCCGTCTTGACTCTGCCGGGGGCCTTGGCTTTGTAGAGGGTCTTCCGCACCTCAGGGGTAAAGGGCTTCAGGTCTGGCTTGGAAATCTTTTTGACCTCAGGTTTGGTGTCTTTCTTCTTCTCCTCCTTCTTGGCATCTTTCTTTTCCTCCTTCCTTCCTTCATCCTTCTTGAGCTCCTTCCTCTCCTTTTTGATCTCTTTTTTCTCTTTGTCTTTTTTCTCTTCCAGCTTTGATATCTTTTCTTTCAGGTGCTTCTTCCCCACTTTGTCTTTGATAAGCTTTCGCTTCTCTGCCTTCAGTGCCTCGCTTGACTCTGTCTTCACCCTCTCAGGCTTGGCGGGCTTCTCTGGGGGCTTCTCAGAGGACTCTTTTGCCTTCTTTTCAGTCTTGGCTAACTCTTTGGCCAGTTCTGAGCGAGCCTCCTTGGCTCCCTCTTCGGCCACCTCCTCCCGTTTGGCCAGTTTTCCCACAGGTGTCTTGGTCGTGGCCTTGAGGCTCTCTTTGCTGTCAGCCCGCTGTTTGATTTTGCTGGGTTTGAGGTTGGCAGGCACAGCCCCAGTGGCCAGGTCCTTCTGTGTGGCCACAGGGTAGCGCAGGAAGTCCAGGTGTCGAAGCTTTTCCAGGCCCTCCAAGATTTTGTTCTGGGGGGCATTCCCTGGGAAAAGGACGCGCACGATCTTCTCAGTGGGGTTGGCTGGCAACCAAACCACCAGAGCGGTGATAGAGGTCAGGTAGGGCACTGAGATCTCAGCCTCCTTCCCGTTAGCCAGCACAATGCCTGTCTTGGCTTTACTGTTGCCCGCCCACTTTTGCATGAGGAACTGCATCTCCTTGCTGTCCTTAACAGGGTTCAGGACGTACATGTCCAGGCGGCCCACACCCATCTTGTGGAAGAGGGTGAGAGGCTCTATGGTGTTGCTGACCACACGATACAGGGGCTCGGCCTGGATGCCCAGGCGGTTTAAGTGCTGCAGAGTGAGGCAGGCCTCCTCAATGCTGCGCTTGGCCTTCCGTGAGGCATCCGGCAGCCTCAGCTTATCGGGCACGTTGAAGAAGACAACCCCCAGCTCGGGGGAGATGAGGTTCTTCACCCAGTCGCTGTAGCTGCTGGAGCCCTGGGACTGCTCCTCCTCCAGTTCTGCTACTTTGCGCTGCAGAAGCCCGTTGATGCCTGGCAGGTTGTCGGCCCCGATGTGGGTGAGCAGCACCGAGTCGATGCGGTCCAGGTGCCGCACCAGCTTCCAGAAGCAGGACTTGCGGTCAGAGCCACCATCCACCAGGATGTTGAAACCATTAACGGCAAAGAGGGCTGAGTCCCCGCGACCGCCGGGGAAGATGTAACAGCAAGGCTTGGAGAGCTTGAGGAAGCCCCCTGAGGTGGGGGGCTCCAGTAGGTCGAAGGGGGACGGCACGTCCACGGTCTCAGAGACGTACTCGGAGAATTCAGCCACGCCATCCATGGTGGGCAGTGTGGGCTCAGGGTTTAGCCGGAGGTGCAGGGTCTCTTGGGAACTAGCTAGTCCCAGGTGGCTCCAGTCGCCCTCCCCTAAGCAGGACACGGTGAGGAAAGCCTGGATCCCAGGGTCTCTGTTGCTGAGCAGCTGGGCAATCTGGAGGAATGGGAGACAAAAGGCCTGATCAGGTCATTGGGGTTGTCTCAACCCGACTCAGATTCAACCTGCTAGTCTTCTTCTCTCTCCGAGGTGATCTCCTACCATTCTGCCAGCATCCCCGGTGGTCAAGGGCCATAGGATTTTCCCTTCCTTGGATCCCTCCCCATAGCTCTAGTCCCACCCCGTGTTCTGTTCCTCCTGGACACTGGGACACAGGACTCACCTCTGGGTTGTGAAGGACCTGGGCAAAGTTTTGATAGGAGTAAGTGCCACTCTGTAGGATGAGGTCTCCCCCAGGCTCTAAACTCTGCCCACTCAAGATCAGTAGTTTGTGAGCTGATGGGCTGCTAAGGAGGTGGTGAACCTACAGCAGAAGGAGAGGGTTGGTCACAGATGGAGGAAGCCCAGGAAAGGGCACTGACGGTTCCAGGGCCCCCTCAGGAAGGCAAGGACACGCCCCCCCCACTGGGAGCCCCACAGCACCTCCAGGTGGGGCTGGGATTGCGAGGCCGCTTAGATGGCAGACAGAGCGTGCTTCAAAGCCAAGCCTGGGAGTTCTTGGCACTGGCTGGGGTGGGTTCTGGCGCTTTCAGCAGGCCCAGTGTGGCTCAGGCCCTGGCCTTACCTCAGAGCTGATGCTGTCGGCACTGGGGTTTACGAGGATGATGGTCTCTAGGATCTCACTCTGGTGGCAGAGGGTCCTCTGGCCTGAGGGAGAGATGCAGGAATTTGTATTGAGGGAAGTGGGTAGAGACTAAAGTGGAGAGGCCTTGTGTAGGGCAGTAGAGGAAAAACTGCACTATCAGAAAATGGGGCTGGGGGAAGGAGTAGCCTGGCTCTCCTTGATCCAGCCACTTTGGAACCTGCTGAGTAAGGTCTGGGGACTGGCTCCGGCTGCAGCCCTTCCCTTCCAGGGTTTCCTCCTCCCACACTGACTGTCTGCTCCCTCCCCTCATCTACACCCCCTCTGCCTGGAACTCCCGCCTCAGGCTGCCCTGCTGACAAGAAGCTTTTGTCCCTCTCTGTCGCTCCGGAGCACTAAGCTCCTGGTGCTGCCTGGGGATGGGGGGCTCAGCTGGAGGAGGGGCTTCTGCGACATTGATCCTCACTCAGCCCTCTGCTCACTAGCTTGCCTCTGCCCAGGGCTTTCTTGCCAGAGTGCCTGGAAATAAGGAGACGGCAATGGATACGAACTCATCCTCCTTTCAAACTGCCATCCGAGGCCCGAAGTCCCATTCCAAAGGACTCAGAGCAGTCTGAGATATCTAAACCCTAGGGAGTTACAATGCAGAGGAGAAACAGGACCACTAAATCTGTTTTCTAGTTCCTCGGAGGCCAAGCCTGCGCTTACAAACACACACAGTCATCCTGTTCCCACCACGAAAGGTTTCACGCCCTGTCTCCCACCTCAGCTCCATGTCCCCAGGCTCCTGGTTCACTGCCCACAACCCGACCTCCCCGAGAGGACGACAGTTTCTCCTCTCATTCTTGTGCCTCTCCTATGGACCTTCTGTCATAGGGAGGGGAGTCTGGGGTGCACAGAGAAACAGTTAAGATAGGAGAGGTTCAGAGTGTTCCCCAGGCTATGGGGCGGGGACAGAATACACCCTCAAATCCCCTCTCTATGTCCCTAATCCAGACTCACACGAAACACCAAGCAATGCAGCAAAGAAAGTGCCAGGTTAGAGAGGAGATCCCGAAGAAGGGTGCTGCCAGCCCTGGCTCCTCCTGCCCTCACCGATTGAATAGGTGGTCGGTGTGGACGTGGGCTGTCTGGAGGATTCTGGTGGGAGGACTCATAACCTGTCCCCCAGACCCTCTTCTGTGACCCAGCACTCTCTCCTCTTTCTGGGGCTCAGACAAGAGGACCCTGGGGCCAGGGCCTTTGTTAAACGGAAGAGCGATCGTGCCAGGATCGGGCAGATCTGGCAGCTGCAGGGAAATGAACTACCGATGGTGTCCGAAGACCAAGGCCCACGCAGGGTGGGCGGGGCCCATGCGGAGTTCAAGGGTTCTCTTCTATTAACTTGGGAATTGAGGGACACTTTGAGGTCAGTTAAGAGGATGAGAACCACCTCGGAGTCACGTAGGGGCAGGGCTTGAACAGGTGAGGGATGACGGACTTAGAGGGTCAGGGAGCAGCCAGCCCTAGGCGAGCTCTAAAGTAGTTTAGATTTTGAAGGGCAGTTCAACCACCTCCGTTGCCCCCAGCACAAATGCCCAAGGTCAACACATCTGAGTTAGGAGGGTCAGAAAAGGGAAAATCTTGGGATACAGTCCAATTTGCTTTCTCTCCACTACCTCTGTTCCCCCAGTCTGCCATCGCCCCCCACCCCGGCCCCCTAGACTGGTTTATAACCACCACTTCTGGTCTTGGCATAAGACCCTATGGCTCACCCCTGGGCGCTCCGGCTGTGACTGGCCACTACTACATGGTTTCTATCCCGCACCCCTCCCCGAAAAGAAGGAAGGGAGGAAGCCCTCTGCCTCTCCTCTGCTCCCCTCGCAATCCCACTGAAGGCCACGGACTTGTTTTTCTGCTTTCTTAGGAGAGGACATCTTTGAGGCAGGGGCACATCCCCAGGCCAGGGATGGGGTTAGCGGGGGGTGGGGGGGGCGGGGGGGGGGGGCTGCGGGTGCGGAGCCGAGCCGGGGAGGCCGGGAGGGCAGGTGTCTCCGCAGTGAGGCGGCGGGAGGGGGCCGGGCAGCTGCAGTGTGCCGCAGTGTGTGAGTGTGCGCGCTGAGCTCCGGCTCCGGCTCCGCCCCCGCCCCCACCCCAGCATGACAAGTCATTTTCTTGGCTGCCTCTGCATGGGGGGTGGGGAGGGAAAGGGGGGGATGCAGAGAGGGAGAAGAAACGGGCTCCTCTGTTCGGAGCCCCCGTCTTGGGAAGAGAAGCGGAGATGGGGGTTGGGGGTGGGGCCGTGACTGGGAGCCTGCCGGGTTGACAGCACTGGGAATGCGGGGAAGCTGCTGGGGAGCGAGCGTTCCCTATCTCCCGGGCGGCCTCTCCATCCCCGGAGGCAGCCAGAAAGAGGGGGCTTCGAGTCCAGGTTTCAAGCTCGCTGGTTGCCGGGAATGGGTGTGGGGAGCACACCGCACACCCGCTGGTCTGTGAGGAGGCGCGTGCGACGTCTTAACGACCCTTCCTCCCTTCTTTCCCAAACTGCCCCCCACCTTCCCTTACTTGGCAAAAACTCGCGGTCCCGCTCACCCCCCTGCATCGGAGCAGCTGAGCGATCCAGCAGCTGACGCCCAGAGACCCTCCCATTCGACGCGCTCCCACAACATCCGCCTTTCTCCCTAACGCTTCGGTCCCACCAGACACAGCCCCGAACTCCGTCCGAGCCCCAGGCCGCCCCAGGCCGCCGGGCTGGGCCGGTGACACCGCCCTCTGCGGCTGCCCCTGGGCGGCTGCTCCCAGCTCAGCCCAGTCCGCGCGGTGGCTTGTCACAGTGCCGGCCCCACTGGCCTCCGCTTGGTTCTGGGTCCAGGCTGGCCCCACAGTCAGTTCATCTTCTCGGCAGCCCACCCTGCCCACCCCCGCCAGGCTAGTTCCAGACACAGCAGATTAGGTTATTAACTCCCTTCCCATTACCCGCATCCCACCTCCCCATCACAGCATCGCCCACGATCCATGCCAAGTCCTTTGGCCCGGTTGGGTTCTTACCGGGGATGTGGGAGGGAGACCCTCATGGAGGCTGCTGCTCCGGCCTCAGCCGGCAGCTTCAGAGAAGAGTCTGCGGCACTGGGGTGGGAGTGGGGTGGGGAGGGGGGGGTTGCGCTTGATGGTGAGGGCGGCGCCAGGGCGGGGAAGAGGGGCTGGTCCATGACGAGGCTCTGGAGACTTAACTGTTTCTTTGCCTTCACAGTGTCAGCGCTCTAGTGCTTCTGCTTGGCTGGGGGCTGAGGAGTCCTCTAGCAGCTCAAAGTGTCAGGGTGGTCTCCAGTGGCCTACGGGGTCCTTCTCCCCCAACCCTGCTTAGTTAAGGTACATTCTTTTCGCATCAGCCAGAGACCCAAACTCTGCACTACACATTGCAGGGGATATAGGAGGCTGGGCCCTCCCCTTTCTCTGAGGAACCATCTGCTGCCTCTCCCCTCAGACTGGGGGAATGACCTTCAATTCCTGGAGGAGCAGGAGACAAAGAGGCTGGGGGCCTAAAAGCTTAGGGTAGGAGTGAAGGGACTCCTTGAGAAGGCTAGGGATGACAGAAAGGAGGCAGTTGCGCTGAGTTCTGCAGTCTTCTGAGCCACAGCTGTAGACACGGGGGGAGGGAATGTGGCAGAAAGAAGTCATTTTAGGTTGGGGGGTAGTTTGAGATTCTGGAGTGGACACACAGCCCCTAGTCCATGTCTAGCCCCTCTGGGGTGGGGCACAGGGGTCCTAAGACTGCCTACTATTCTGTGCCAGTGCAGCGCAGCACTGCAACCACACAGGCACTGATATTTGGAATTCTTGTTCTCTGGGTATGAAGAGGCATTTTCTGAGGTTTCAGGACACATTCTACCTTTCAGTGAAATAGTTAAAGGGATGAAGGAAGATCAGCAGGGCCCCGGGCCTATAAGAGTTTCTTTCTATAGACCAATTATTAAATGCCACATAAAGTACTCTTTGGACTAAAAAGATCTTATAATGACTTTGTAGGGTGTTGGGTCCCTGTTCTTGTCTCTGTACTTTGCTATGTCTCTCTGATGTCTTCATTTTATAGGGTCTTAATCCTTTTAACATTGGTCCTGTTTCCCTTAGTCTCTTCTGTCTCAGATTTGGTGACACGTGCTCTAGGACCCAAAGAGAGGACCTAGGGAGCTCTAGCGCTGAGTTCCAACCGCTGATGCTCAAGTCCCTGCAGGGTCCTTCCCCGCTCTCTTCCCTCCCCAGTCCTGGGCAATTCCTACTGCTTCCTCCCAATCACATCCACCCACTCTTACCCTAGCACCGGCTCCACCCTTGCCCCTGGCTGCCAAGAGCTGCTTTTGAAGGTCAGAGAAGCCAAAATAGTCTCTGCTCTCAGTATCCCCATCCCCCGTAAACTGCGAGGAGAGGAGGAGCTGAGTCACCAATGGGGGGGGGACTAAAGAGGGGGAGGAATCTTTCCTCAGATCCGGGGATGCAAAGCAGTAACATGGCAACAGCCCCATTTGGATAGAGGAGGCCATCTGCAGAGACGTACAACACAAACCAGGCTGAGTTCCGAGCATCACAAAGGGAAGACACTTCCTTTCCGCAACTTCATAGTTCTTATTTTCTCCTACCTCGAACCTTCTCTCTCCTCCCTGCTTTCTAGAGCTCTCTGGAGTGTGCTAAGAGGGAAACTTGAGTAGACATGTGGTTTGAGAACAAAATAACATTTCCCAGACCATTGCAGAGCCCACCCTTATTCTCAGCTGTCACCCCCCAAGGGCCACACCCTGGGCAAGGTTCCAACTCACAATGGAGTTTTCCTTCAGCCCTCACCCTCTGAACAGCCTACCCACCACAACCACACCTCCATCCACTGTGTTCCTTGGCTCTGCTGCAATGAAATGGTGAGGAGCCAAGGAAGAGAGGCCTGAGCTCAGACACAAAGAGAGATCAGAAGTCCTGGATCTGAGATCTGACTGCCATTTTACTAATCATGTTTTTAAGTAAGCCACGTAAGGTTTCTGAAAGAGATTACTCCCTGAATTACAAAATGAGTATAATATTAGTACCATCCTCTAATAACGCCACAAGGAGTAAATGACATTAAAAGATGAAAAAGTAAAAAAAAAAAAAAAGATGAAAAAGTGCTTCATTCCTAGAACCTTAAACCCATAATGCACAAATGCCACTAGAAGTCTGTCTCCCTCTTGTGGAAGATTTATGAGAGATTACCTAGGTAATCAGGAACTCCTAAACCAGAGTATCTCAACTCTAGAGTAACTTAGCTCCCAGGTAAAGCCATGACTCAAAGTGCCTGTCAGAAAGGACCTCACGTACTCTTCATGTCCCTCCTTTCTCATTTTTGACAGCAGTGCAATCCCCAATTCTAGGGGCCAATGAGCTGCTGTATTAATTCAGAACAGTCTTCATGTTTGCAGAAGTAACAGAACTAACACTTCCTGAGCACATCAGTGGTGATGCAGCATCAGACAGAAGGCTTCCAAACTGGTCCTTCAGCCTGTGTCTTTTTTAGTCCCAGAATATCAATCATGAATTATAAATTATGGAACCCTCTTCCTTTCCTATATGTGCTCAATAGTAAAAGTAGTGTCACAGTGTTATTTAAGCTCAGTTTCCCACTGTTCTAATTGTTTTTGGGTTTGCTTTAAAATGCTTGGAAACTCCAGAGTTTTTTTTTTTTTTGCAGGAGTTAGAAAGGAAGCCTCCAAGTTACCACTGGAGACCAAAGTGGTGCAAAATTCACCTTGGAAAGCCTTTACACATTTGACCACTAGAAGGAGCTGGGCCACTGACTCTCCATCAAAGGGTCCCCTGAGAGAGAGAGAGAGAGAGAGAGAGAGAGAGAGAGAGAGAGAGTGAGAGAGAGAGAGAGAGAGAGAGAGAGAGAGAGAGAGAGGAGAGAGAGAGAGAGAGAGAGAGAGAGAGAGAGAGAGAGAGTGTGTGTGTGTGTGTGTGTGTGTGTAAGGGGTGGTGGCAGGAATAATTGTACTCTCCCTAGGGCTTGAGGAGAGATGAGAGAGTGTAAGGGGTGGTGGCAGGAATGATTGTACTCTCCCTAGGGCTTGAGGAGAGATGAGAGAGATGGTGGCCCAGCCTGGGGGGTGGGCAGAAAAGATAAAATCCTAAGGTACTAGCATATGCCATGGAGTTCATCCCAGCAGCCTGGTTCCCTTGGCTTCCCTACTAATGGAAGCTGAAGGGGGGGCAGTGTCTGCAGCTGCTCTGGGCCGACTGTTGTTTGTGGGGACAGCTGAAAGAGGAGCCAGTAGGGGTGGGGCTGTGGCTGTCTTGAGCCATGTGGGTTTTTCCAGGAAATTATCCACTATTCTCCAGGGACATAAACAGGCCACCGTGAAAAATGTCCAAGCCTAAAAATATTCAGAAGTAAGCCCTGATATTGGGTATAATTGTCCTAAGTTCCTTGAGGACACCATGGTAAAACTCTTTGATTGAAAAGAGCTGGTAGGTGTTTGTGTATCAGTCTGAGAGGTCCCTGAGAGGAACTGTGCATCTCCCTATAAGTATTTTCCCAAGCATCCCCAAATCTTCATCTGAAGAATGGCTAAGTTTTTTGGTTCAAGTTCTGTTCATTCTTACATCATTCCAGAAAGCATCCTTCTCTTACACCCATGTCCAAGACAAGGTTCAAGAATTCAGCGTGAATTAATAACATCAGCAGATACTTCCCAAACTTCAATTGAGTCATTAATTTCATCTGCTGTCATCCCTTTCTCCAGCCTTGCACCAAAGCTCCTAGGATTAATAAAGTAGTAAAACTGTCGATTTTCAAATCGTTAAGAGCTAATGAAGGAAGCCATGACATAAGTATACTAAACAGAAGGAAGTCTCAAAACAGTGACTGGTTAGCTTCATAGGAAGCCAGTCACATCAAGAAGATGCCAGCCTCACATTTTTGAAATGCTGCACATAGTTCTAAGATAATATAGCATTAGTCACATTAAACTTGTCTTCTCTCTCCAGGAGCAGCTCTGGAGGAATAGGTGATCAGGGCAATGACCAACGATGTGGCAGTTAGCAGGAGGAGCAGAAAAAGAAGGGGAAGTGACTGCCTAATATAATGGATAATTGAGAATCATCTGCATAAGATACAAATTCAGTCATTTGATGGTAAGGACTGTTGAATTGGGTGGATTTATATTCCATAGAGACACTGGTGTATGAATTGTTTTGCCGACATTTACCAATAACATGACCAGATGCCCAAGCATTTTTATAATGGGATGTAGAGCTTTCTGCAAGTCTTTCCATAGATACTGTCATGGAATAATAGCTTCTAAAATGTTACTTTTCTCAAATTCCTGACCATTTCTCCCACACAGCAAAATGGGAAACTGCATCCTGCAAACTTTGATCTCAGAGCCAAATCTCAAACTATGGCTAGCTCTTTCAGCAGTGAACCCAGGAAACCCTGCTTCCACTTTGCATTTAATGGTGCTCATCAGCCTTTGGGTCAAGGTTTCTGCTCTGTTCTGAACATCTGCTCACTGAGCCAAAGGAGGAACCAGAAACCCTAGAGGCTGGAGGATAGGCTATGCAGCCTGAGGGAGAGTGCTAATCACTCAAGAGGTACCTCATTCCCTTAGTGCACGTTGGCTGTCCATAAACCACCCCCTTCTCGGGTAGAAATTACATTCTCCAGGCTTTCTCCACCATCATACCGTTTGTCTGTGAAGTGACCTGGGTATGTGGAGATTGCTATGGAGCCCTACAACATTCCCCTCAGGAGCCCCTCCCTTCTCCCCAACCCAGACTTCCCACAAGGTCAGTTCTGCCAGAGAGACTGGACCTCTGCTCTTCTGTGACCATCCCTCACCCACAGCACTGAGACAAATGACACTAGTCCTAACCTTTGACCTCTGAAGAGAAGTGAGCTAGGTGCCGGGTAATGAAGAGTCTCAATTGTTGGTTCAAGTCAATGGATGATAAATCAATGTTCCAGGAGAGAATGCCTGTGAGAGAAAAAGAAACAAAGAGGGACCTAGATAAGGTCAGAGGGACTGGCCTTCGGGGAGCATTTCCAAGCTCACAGAAGGGGTAAAGAGAGGGAGGGGATAAGGATGGTTGCCATGATCAGCCTCACTAATGTATTTAAGAAAGGTGGCCAGTCCTATGTCTAGCTCCCATCCTGTACCTTTCTTGGACTTTGCTTGAGCTAGGGGAAGGAGGGCAGAGTTTAGGCTAAATTTGGTCATTGGTGAATTTGTATGTAGGAATTTTCTTGCAGAGTTGCCCAGTTGTGATAGAAGTGACACCCAAGGGCCCATTCCCAGATACTAGGGGCTGTCTTCCCAATACAGCTAAGCAGGATCCTGGACTTTCCTCCTGTGGCCCCCTCCTTGCCGCCACTCCTCCGTGGCTTGCTTCCACCCGCAGGTGGCTCCGCAGCACTGCGCCACAGGCAGTGCAGGGCTGAAGAGCTTGTGGCCACAAAGGTCACTCTTTCAGATTGGCCGCTAGCACTGGGATATTTGAGATCTGTCTGCAGCATTCAGAAAGCATACTGTGCCTGTTCAGGAACCCTAAAGAAGAAACTAAGGTAGGGACATGGACTCTTCAGGGGATGGTGAGGACTTTCAGGACCTCTGGCCCAAGACACTGCGGGGGAGAGGGGTATAACCAGAGGGCATCCCCACCGAGGCAGTGCCAGCTCCCCCACCCTTACCCTCACCCCTGCCTCAGGGAGATTGCGGAACGCCGTGCGGTGTGAGGGAAGGATGGGGTTGTGAGATGTTGGCAGTTTGGGAGGATACGAACGCGTGACATAGAAGATGCAGGTGACAGGGGCTGATGATTCAGATTAACAGGGCGCGCAGATTTCAGGAAATTCACACTAGGGATAGGGGATGCAGACGGCAGAGAAGCACGGGATGGAGGATGTCCGGAGCTCAGCCAGGACAGCAGCTCACCTTGTTCAAGGTGGGCCCGAACGGCCCTCAGCTGACTCTCTGTAGCGATATCGCCGATCACGATGAGCAAAGAGTGCTTCCTCAGGTCCCAGCGTGCCGCCGCCACCACGGCTTCGGCCTCGCGCAGCGGCTCCGCGGGGTTCTGAGCCGGCGGAGAGCCGGGGCTGCGGAGCCCTAGCCCGGGACTTGTCTCCATGGCAACGCCGCGAGGCTGCCCGGGCCCAGCCTCGGTCTCCATGGAAACTCCGTTGGCGCGCTAGGCCGGCCGCGTCCGCTGCGGAGAGAGTGCGCGCGGTTCTTAAAGGCCGGCAGCAGAAGCCGCTCATTGGCTTCTGCCTGTCAGGGGGCGGAGCACTGGCGCCGCAGGGGCGGGGCTGCGGCCGAGAAGCTCCAGCTCTGCGGAGTCGCTGGGCGTGGGGGGCGGGTACCGAGGTTGGCGGGGCGGGGGGTGGTTTTCCCACTCCGTCATCACTCGTTTTCCAGAGGGAGCTGATACTCGGACTAGAGTAGGGGTGGGGGCTCTGCGGACCGGGTGGAGGGGCGAGTTTGTTGCTTCCGCGCCAGAAGAAGCTTCTAGGTAGTCTGTTTCCCGGATAAGTGCTGTCTGGCAGTTCCGCAGCCTCGCCCGTACTGAGAGGAGCCATCTTGTCTCTCTCTGCTTCCGAGTTTGGTGTATCCTTCAGTCGGTGTGTCTGTAGTATCATTGTTTGGAGGTTGTTTCCCTCCCCCGCCTCCTGTCACTGCCTGCCAGGGTTCTAGATTCCGTCCTCGGTTTTTTCTGTCCTCATTGCCCCAGGCCCTGGGTGTGAGCTCTGGAAGGCTGTGCAGTATCGGGACGGACAGAATGACCTTCCGGCCCTGAGTCCCTGGTGAGTTGCTATTCCGAAGATGGTGGTTGGCTTGTCTCCATCTCTACTGAGTGCAGTGAGCTCAGACTGCAGCAAGGGGGGTTTGAGTAAAACCCAGGAAAGTCCTTGCCAACTACTTGTGACACAGTGAATTGGGTGACCTTGGGAGACAATGGTATCACCTCCCCCAGGGAATCTTTGAACAAGGGAAGAGGTTGGTCCTTCCAAAAAAAAAGAACCAAAACCAAAGGATGTGAAAGAGGACTGAGGAGGCTGGCACTGTTTTATGATTGCCTGGAACATCCTGTGAAAATGGTGTGGTGCTGAAAGCCTAATCCACCCCCCACCCCCTCCTTTCCTCAGCCTGTCTCCACCACCTACTCTGCACGCCTGTATCTTCTTTTACCCGGGATACTGAGTCATTCTGTATGTGTATCATCACACAGAGCAGAGCTTGCCTTCCGCCCTAGGACTCCAGCAGTACTTTTGTGGGTTCCCTGTGCCTTACACTTTCCCGATGGTGCAGGGAAGAAAGAAGCACAGTACCTGATTCAGCACGGCTCTCTGTGAGCCACCTTCTGATTCACCTCCTCTCAGGAGGCCGTGAGGAGGGTTGGACAGTGTCTGCATTTTAAGTACCTCACAGTAGCCCTGGTTCTTGGCCATGGAGCATTTGTTTAGCAAAACATCCATCCTGCAATTTGGATATGGCCCTATCTGAAACTAACATAATGTTATATGTCAGTTACACTTCAAATTTAAAAAAAAAAAAAAAACATGGACAGGGCCCTGAAAATCCTTTGTGTAACAAATAATACCGGTGGAATATAAAATGGTGGGGATGCCTCACCCTATATGACATATGAGACAGTGCTCTGCTCTACACACCCACCCCCCATTTGCAGACCTCAATCTGGCAAAGAGCACAAATGGACGTGCAAGCCTCCCCTTTTCTGCAATCAGAAAAGAGTGCCACATGGAGGCAGAGCCAGAATAGGTTGTAGGGAGAGGAAGGGGACAGTTACCATAGCAACTGTAGAGATGAGGCCTTTAGCTAGCACAGGGCCTCAGTATAACGGTCATCTGCAGTTAACCACAGGCTCTGCTTTCATCAGTTTTGACAAAGATTAGACAATAGATCTGAATTCTGTAAGGAAGGGCCGCACACTGATCAGATGATAGAGGCAGCAGTTTAGGCCTGTGATGTCAGACCCTGCTAGAATTGGCTTTTTTATTAATTAGAACTGTAAATACAGACTGGTAAAGGAAAGTGAAACTGTTAGTCGCTCAGTTGTGTCCTGACCCCATAGACTATAGCCTGCCAGGCTCCTCTGTCCATGGGATTCTCCAGGCAGGAATACTGGAGTGGGTTGCCATGCCCTTCAGGGGATCTTCCCGACCCAGGGATCGAACTCGGGTATCCTTCATTGCAGGTGGATTCTTTACTGTCTGAACCACCAGGGAAGTCCCTAAATACAGACTGTGATGGGACTAAAAAAAACCTGGAATGTTAGTATCTATGCACCAGAATTTTGCAACTGCAGACAGAAAACTGATTGCATATATGTAGAAGGCCATAGAAAGCTGTATAAAAATTTTAAAGAAATACATTTATACATGAATTGCAAAGTATTTAAAACCCTATTTTGTGTTTAGGAATAGTTTGCTGTGGCAGGAGCATTCAAAGACCCATCCAACTTAGAACCTATGATATATGTGATTGTGAAGCATGTTCAGTAGCGTGTGATGGTTATAGAGCCTGCTGTAGTGTTTTATTTAACTGTTTACCCCTCAAACTGACCAGGTATGATCTTTTGGAAATTCTGCTATTCTATAGTTTCTTCCACATTTTTGTCATATAGCATTGGCAAATATAGTGGTTACAATCTGTGCCTTCCAAACTATTTGTGATGAAGGACCCTTGAATTGTGGAAGGGATCTCTAAGGATCTATCACTGAAAAAGGAATTTAGGGTAGATATCAAAGGAAGACACATTACAGGCTCTTTGCTTGGGTATGCACTGGAGTGGGCACAAGGCAAAAGGTATTACAGATCGTAAATGGCTTGAAAGGTAACTGTAGCCTTGGCTAAGTTTAAACCACTTAAGGGATCCTCAGCGCCCAGACCTTTGTCAGTTCATAATATATGGTGATAAATAAGCAACAGGTAAATTATACACATACTTAACAAAGTAGGAGGGGCATTCCTATGTTTTTTTGTGGAAATAATTTCATTTTTGGTATTGAAATTATTGAATTTATCCTTATGAAAAAATGAGAAATTTACTGGAATGAACTACTCTCATATAGAATTGTGTATGTCTGAGAGAGGAAGACACCATCATCCTTTAAATAATTAGGGTCTCCATAGGACTTAGGCTAGCTCTGGTAATTGGTAAAGAAAATGTACTGGCTCCTCCCCGCTAGTCCAGTGAATGTCAGTTTTCTGGGGATCTCAGCTCATTTGGCAGAATTCCAGCTGGCTGTGCTGGATTGCATGGTCTTATCAACCAAGATACACAAAAGGAGCTGTATGCAGCTCACATTCCTACCCTGTACTCAGCTTTAATAGGCATTAAAGCATTCTTTACAAAGAGAGAGGTGTGTTGAATTACAGGATTGCTGTGTTAGCAGCTTATCCTTGGCTTTTGGGGAGAATACTAGGGTCATAATACATACCAGCAACCATAGGGTCACCTCTTTGCATGGTTTATCTGCAAAGGCACTGAGTGAAATAACCTCTAATGAGGCAGAGTAAAAATAATCTCTGAAAAGTTTGAGATGGGGAAGAAGTCTGCATTTATTACTACTCTATCTTGCACACAGAAGCAGCCCACAATAAACATTTGTTGCATAATTTTCCTAATTATTTGTTTACTAAGTAATGGGAAGATCAGGGCACTGGGTTTCCCCTCTCTGTGCAGAGCATTCAAAAGGACCATGAAGACACTTTTTCTTCCCTCGCTCTCCACACTCTTCTCTTAAAGAAAGTCATTTCCAAAAGGAAAAAAGAAACATTTATGGATATTATTTTCTCTTTTCTGTTTGATTAGTGTCTAAAATGAAAGTTAGTGTTTGGCTGTGGTCTCTGATAACCACCTTTTCCTTCAGTCTAAACGAAGTTGCTCTTACTATAGGAATCTCTAAGGATTTTCATGTGATGATGAAGAGGATGGTGGTAAAGAGGCGCAAAATGTATTACTTAGTTTTGAGGCCATGCCTATGTGTGAATTAAATTTTGCATCATGTTTTCAAGATTTCAAATAGTAAAGTCACTTTCCTTCAAGGAGTACTTAACTTGGGTTGCAGAAATATTGTTACCTTTACAACATTCAGTTCAGTACAGTTCAGTTGCTCAGTTGTGTCTGACTCTGTGACCCCATGGACTGCAGCACACCAGGCTTCCCTGTCCATCACCACCTCCTGGAGTTTACTCAAAACTCATGTCCATTGAATCGGTGATGCCATCCAACCATCTCATCCTCTGTCGTCCCCTTCTCCTCCCACCTTCAGTCTTTCCCAGCATCAGGGTCTTTTCAAATGAGTCAGTTCTTCGCATCAGATGGCCAGAGTATTGGAGTTTCATCTTCAGCATCGGTCCTTACAATGAATATTCAGGACTGATTTCCTTTAGGATGGACTGGTTGGATCTCCTTGCTGTCCAAGGGACTCTCAAGAGTCTTTTCCAACACCACAGTTCAAAAGCATCAAGTCTTCTGCACTCAGCTTTCTTTATAGTTCAACTCTCACACCCATACATGACTACTAGAAAAACCATAGCTTTGACTAGATGGACCTTTGTTGGCAAAGTAATGTCTCTGCTTTTTAACATGCTGCCTAGATTGGTCGTAACTTTTCTTTCAAGGAGCAAGTGTCTTTTAATTTCATGGCTGCAGTCACCATCTGCAGTGATTTTGGAGCCCCCCAAAATAAAGTCTCTCACTGTTTCCACTGTTTTCCCATCTATTTGCCATGAAGTGATGATACCAGATGCCATGATCTTAGTTTTCTGAATGTTGAGTTTTAAGCCAGCTTTTTCACTCTCCTCTTCCACTTTCATCAAGACACTCTGTAGTTCTTTTTCTGCCATAAGGGTGGTGTCATATGCATATCTGAGATTATTGATATTTCTCCTGGCAATCTTGATTCCATCTTGTGCTTCACCCAGCCCAGCATTTCTCATGATGTACTCAGCATATATGTTAACTCAGAAGTAGTTTGTCTTCTCATCAGTTCTTTTTCCTTTTTTTTTTTTTTTGGTTGTACTGGGCCTTGTTGCTGCACTTGGGCTTTCTCTAGTTGGTGTGAACCGGGGCTACTCTTCATTGCAATGAGTGGATTTCTCACTGCGGTGAGAAGCCACTGCGGTGGCTTCAGTAGTTGTGGCTCT